TCCGCTCTTTGTCTTTCTTCGATCTTCTAGGACACGAAGAAATGAACTTCACGTCGTTGGCAAATGTCACATTGCGCTTTATCACTTTTCGGGTCGACGTAGTCGTTCCCGAGGATTCGTCATCTGTTGAACAATCCGAATCAGCGTCGCTGTCAACGGATGGACAATCTGACTCCTCCTCATCTTGTCTTGAAGATCGCTTCCATATAGCCGGAGCTGATGGATTCCACCTTCGACACAATCTGATGGCGGGTGCCGCAGGGAGTGCCTTGGCCTTGGCATTCGGCTTCGCTGGAGCTGCCTTCGCTTCGGATTTAGCTTTAGCTTTTGCCTTTGGTTCCGGAGCTGGGGTAGCTGCTGCCTCATGCTTGAAAGGACAATTCTCTCTTGAGCACGAGCCTGTGTTCTTGAACGAGTAGCATATCCTGTTTCCTCCTCCTCCAGATGGACTTGGAGTTCTCGTCCTCGGCGTGAAGGGTCGCTCTGGAGTCTTCTTCGAGTGACTGAATGGACACTTATCACCATTTCGACACCCTGCATCTGTGAAATGGAACTTGCAGCGGATTTGCTTCTTGCTTTTGTCACCTCTGTTGTCCGCTGACTCACTCCTCGTCTTCTTCTTGGGCTTTGGCTTGGTCTTCGCATGACTCTTCGCTTTGCTTTGAGGTAGTACAGGTGTTGCTTTATCCGGCTTGGTCGGCGAAGCCTTGACCTTTGCGGATGGAGCTGCGTTAGGCGTAGGTTTCTCGGGTACCTTGGCCGGTGCAGCAAGCAAATCCTTGCCCTCAAGCATCTGGCGCAAGCCAATTTGGGTCTGAGTGAGATTTGACTGTTCTCGTCTCCGCATGATAGTACGATCAATGATCTTCATCAGGTTGTCGTACGATCGGTCTTCATGATTGTAGGGCAAGTGTTCGTAATGCATGCCCAACTCCATCTTCATTGCGGGCGAGTCCTTGATCTTGCTGTACAAGCAATCACGGAGAGCTGTTTTGGATGGAATGTCCTCTGGTCTCATCCGTCCCAGAACTTCCAACCACGTCTGCTTGAACGTATGAAGCTTGTTGTCGCCTTGGTACTGGAGCTTCACCAAATACTCAAGAGTGATGATCATGTCAAGACGATCATGCGTTCGAAAACTTTCATACATCATCGCAATGACTTGTCGTCCTTTGATGATCTTCACGTCAGGCCTGCTGATGTAATCGTTAGCCTTCCGGTTCACCTCAAGGTACAGGTCAGCTGATTTGTCACCACCGGCACGTAGCATTGCGACCATGGCGATCCCCAATTTGACGTCTATGCTCTTGAACTTCTTGTGTCCTGAATCATTCAATGCTTCGACATCAGGGAATGGGTTGAACGCTGGTGCCAGCCATAACATCCAGTCCTCATGATGTGGGTCGGCTGATGCCCCTAAGACATTGGCCGTGCACACGGATCGCCAGTTGTTGAGATGAGTGAGAGTAGGCCATGGAGGAACGGTCACTTTGTCGGCTTCCCTCCTGGAAATTCTCACCTCTGTGACTTCAGGATCCGCATCTCCATCAGGATCACGTGCATGCGAACCAGGATCCGATTCAGGTTTGCCTCCACCGCTTTTCTTCTTATCATCATCATCGTCAGGCGGGTCAGGAGGATCATACCCCGTGCCGGTTCCTTCATCGTGCTCTCCATCTTCGTTCTCGTCGCCACCCTCGTCACCGTCACCGTCTCCATTATCCTCCTGAATCGTTTCAGCGAATAACCTCCATTCATCACGATCAGCTCTGAGACGTTGCTCGGCTTTCTGGGCCTTGAGTACTTCGCTTCGCAGATCGGCAATCTTCTCCTCGTACCGTTCCGCGACCTCTTTCTCGATCTGACGTCTTCTTGCTTCATGAATGGAATCGTCATAGGCAATAGGGGGACCGATGAGGTCGTTGCCCTTCGTAGATGCGGTAACACCGTCGATACCAACAGGTCTTGAGGAGCTGGCCGATGCTGTGGACTTCGATCCCAACATCCCGCGATCCCCCAAGAGTTCGCGTAGCTGTCGATCACGCACGGCTGCCGCATCACTTTTCCCATGAAATCCGCTTGGTATGCCGAACAAAGTGGCTGCACTAGGCGTGGAACGCGCAAGTGCTGGGCTGCTAATACCTGGCACGTAGTGCTCGGGCATTGCATCCGCCACGATTGGCATTGAACTGCGGCCAGTGAAGAAGTTTCCACCGGTGAATGGAATTCCATCCATCACAAGGTTCTTGTCCTTGTCCGATTCCGAGAATGCGAACTTCTCTTTGGCGACTGGACTAACTTGACTTGGGGACCGTATTTCAGGGGATCGTACCTCATCTCCTACGGAAAATGCAGGCATTACTTCCTTTCCTACGTGCTCCCAGCCAGACTCAGTAGTCCTCGAAGACATGGGCATGCTCGAAGGTCGCGTCGCTCCTCCTTGATTGGAGTTTCGCGCTGCCTCCAATTCGCTGCGTGTCCTCGCTTGAAGATCTTCTTGTGCTTTGAGCGTTTTCCTGAGTTCACTCAGCTCGTCGTGCAAGGTAGGCAATGATCGCCTTGCATGATCTTCATTCTGATGAAGTCGATCCTCTGCTTCTTGCATCCTCTTCACAGCCATTTTGCGGTACTCTTCCTCTTCACCAAGACGTTCGCGAAGCCGAAATCGTTCTTGATCAATGGCTGCGCTGTTTCCAGCTAGCCCTTGGATCTCGTTCACAGCCCGCAACTCCTGGTTCTTGACCAAGTGGAATCGTTCCTGCATTGCTTGTAAGGCTTGTTCCGAACTTGCTGTGTTTGACCGGAGGACCAAGTTCTCTCTGGCGTGTTCATGAAGTTCATGAGTCAGACGCTCATACTCACGTGCCATAAGCTCACCATCGCCTTGCGCTCTTGCCTCCAACTGCACAAAGTTAGTGGCTGCCTCCGTGCGGAACACGTGTAGCTGTTGAGCTAACTCCTCGGCAACGGCATGTGCTTGACGTTGTTGAGCAGAGTTCTGTTCATCCATGCGAAACAAAGCTGTTTCATAGTCTCGCTTCATCTCCTGATTGACATTGTTGATGTGCCTCATGGCTAAGCATGCATGGTCACGTTGTCGTTCCAATTCTTCAATGCGAATTCCAGATCCTTCATCTTCTTGTTGCATCTCCTTGATCTTGTCCATCAGGGTCTGGACGATTCCTTCGTATTCTTGCACCTGACTGCGATAGTACATCTGCTGTGCAAGGTTCGATGCTTCGAACTGTTGCGAAATCGTCAGTTCCTGGTAGGCATTCGGACCATCAGCTATTGCAGGCGTGGCCACGGATGACGCATCACCACGTGCAGGAATCGTATCCAGAGTCATGTCCAGATCGTCAGCATCGCGTGGTTGATTGGTAACCATCCGATTCCAAGTCATGGACTTGTCACGCCCACGAGTAGCCGAAGTCCTCGATCGTGCTGAAGAGCTTCTCGAAGATGATGGTCTTGACTTCTTTTCCAAGGTCTTGACTCCTTTGTCCTTGGCCCTGGACGTAGTCCGAGGTGCCTGAAAACCAGACGCTTCGGCCCGTCGTTCTGAAGCCTTGCCCGTCCTCGAACCTGTGGATGTCGGACGCGAAGGCGTAGATGCTCTTGGTAGACTCTTTGCTTTCCCCTTGGGAACTGCCTTTGCAATGGCAAGCGCAGAAGATTGACCTTTGTCATCTTCCGTGGAGCTATCAACGGATTGCACCACTGTGTCGTCAGCTGTTGACTCACCAACGGCTGGCGCTGCCACATCGGCACCGAAAGTCATTGTCGTATCTTGGCTTGATCCTGAGTTCATTGTGGTCGTAGTAGATCAAGTAGTCGTTGCTGTAGAAAGGCAGAGCCGCGTACGGCTGATAACCTGCGTGGGGGATTGATCTCGACTTGGTTGCTGCTCTCCCCACCAGAGCTGTAATGAATGTAGGTGTGGCTGGCTAGCACTCTCCACAGACTGGACCCTGTCTCTCCCTCTTACTTCCACACGTGCGATCCTATGCAGGCAGAACCGGCGGCCGTTCCTTTTGCACTCACTGCCGGCGGCGGTTCGTCTGTGCAACGGGATAGCTCTGATTGCTCAGGATAGAAGACACATATAGCACTTAGCTATGGGCATTGACTTGAGCCAAACGTTGCGTTGGCGGTCACATAGAAAGGTAAAGATGAGGGATGCGTAGCATGCCCCCTAGAGTCGAGGGACGCGTAGCGTGCCCCCTTCTCTTGCACTTTACACGGTCTTGCTCACAGCTCTTATAGTGACACCTTAGAACTTGACAAGGCATCGCAGTCCGTTCCACTACTACTACTACTACGAACTACTACTACTACTACTACTACTACTACTACTACTACTACTACTACTACTACTACTACTACTAACTACTACTACTACTACTACTACTACTACTACTACTACTACTACTACTACTACTACTACTACTACTACTACTACTACTACTACTACTACTACTACTACTACTACTACTACTACTACTACTACTACTACTACTACTACTACTACTACTACTACTACTACTACTACTACTACCCCCCTACTACTACTACTACTACTACTACTAGCCACCCCCCCTACCAACTAAACTGTCAACATCATCGTCACTAACATCAGCACATGTCATCACCAACATCACCAAAAATCAAACACATCTCATCACCAACATCACGTCAACTCAAACACCTTTCATACCAACATCACCAAACTCAAACACCTTTCATCACCAACATCACCAAAAATCAAACACATCTCATCACCAACATCACCAAAAATCAAACACATCTCATCACCAACATCACGTCAACTCAAACACCTTTCATCACCAGCATCACCAAAAATCAAACACATCTCATCACCAACATCACCAAAAATCAAACACATTTCAGCACCAACATCAGCTGTAGCAGCAACTGTGAGGAACCCTTGGCCCTTGCATCGGCTGACGCGTGTTTTGAGGGAGCGGACCTGTCCAGAGTCACTGAAGCACTTTCGGCTCCAATCGTATCTGGCCATCACCAGATACCTTCACGAGCCCTAAAGAAAGCAGTGCACCGAGCACCTCGTCCAAGACTTCGGAAACTTCTGCAGTGACCTGTCGTTCAACCTGTTCACGGCTAAGCCAAACAAGTTCGTGGCCCGAGAGGTATTGCAACGCATCCAAGAGCATGTCGCAGAAAGACTGCTCCGGCAGTCGTCCTGCTGCATCGACAAGGTCTCGCTCAACAGCAGCTACGAGCGCCGGTGGTGGCAGAGCTGCAAACTGAAGTAAAGTCTGTCGTGGGGCCGTGGTCTGCTCAGAACTTCTCAAGTCCGACAGTCGAAAAGCTCGACCAAAGTGGCTAATGTTCCTCCTGGCAGCACCGGCCCTCGCCACAGCCTTTAACCAGATGTCAGCTTTGTCGTGCGTATCGCATGCACGGAGCACATCCGCTTCCTGCCGTGCCAGCTTGCAGCAGGCTTCGAAAGCCCTGGCCTGAAGGCCATTCAGCGTCTTGGCAGAGCTCGTCAAACTAGCTGCAGCAATGACTGCCTTGTAAAACTTCTCTTCGGCTAGGAGAGAAGGAAATGTACATGGCAAAATCACAGCTGGAAGTTGGCGGACACGAAGCGGAAGCAAGCCCAGTGTAACTGGCAAGCCCTCTGCGCCATGACTTTGTGCCAAAGTAGCAAGCACCGCGGGAGTCTCCAGAGCTGCAGAGGACGTAGTAGCACGTTGCTCCACCTGCACTGCACCAGAGGACGTAGTAGCACGTTGCTGCACCTTGACTGCACCAGAGGACGTAGTAGCACGCTGCTCCACTGCACGAGAAGACGTAGTAGTACGTTGCTCCTCTGCGGCACTTGATGCCACTGACAAAGGAGTCCAAGCCTGAAGCTCTAAGCCATCAGACCTGACCGACAGGACACTGCGTGAGCGCGACCTACGTCTCCTACGGGGGGGGGTTGACTCCATCCCTGGGAGCCAAGCAAAACTGCGACAAAAGGTGGCTGCAGGCTTGAAGAAGTCTGAGTGGCAACACTAGTGGAAACTCAAACAAGTTCAACTCTGCGTGCAGCAGCGGCGGCACCCCCTCTGTGTTTTTTTGACAAGCTCTGACCGCTCACGAAGCTTGCGCAACACACGGCCCATGGCTTCCCAAGGGTCCTCGCTACCAAGCCAAGAGTGCCACTGGGATTCCCTAATGTGATCATCACATTTGTCAGGGTATCTGGCATTGACACCATGACATGAGCGCTTCAAGTGCTGCCAGTAGCCATCCATGGCCTGCGTTCCTGCACAAGTCTTCTTAGTGCGGCCATTGACTCCCTTGTGGTCGCAGGCTTTGACGAAGAAGGGTCCGCCCTTCTTGTTCGAGTGGGAAACAGTATCGCGTCTGATCTCCTTGTCATCAACCTGGGTCGCATAGGCTTGGGCCCCGTCAACATGAAGAATGGTCTGAGATGCCACATGTTTCGTACAGTATGACTTCCATTCCTCACAGCTGAGCGGAGGCGGGCACGCAAAGCCGGTCTTCTTCCGCTTGCTCAAGGAACGTTCGAACGGCCTTTTCTCCAGCACGAGAGAACGTTTGACTCCTCGTTCTTTGGAGCCTACCCAACCCTGCCAGGCCACTTGGTCCGCCACAAACTGCTTCCTGACAACGCACTCGTCCGCTTCTACCTCCTTGTAGTCACCACCCTGGGTCTTGCATTGCATCTCCTGCACGTAGTCAGCAAGAGCGGATCGCCATTTGCTCTGCGCGGCGGCAATCCTTTTGTCGTTCATGCCCAACTCTGCCCGGATCTGCCGCAAAGGAGTCCTCCAGGCTATGTGCCAGAGCAGAAGCACCTGCGTTCGCAAAGGCAGCACATCCTCGCCGCGCCCTGTGCTGAAGACCGGACTCGCGGTGAGAACATGCTGTTGTCGATTGCACGGCCTGGTTGTGCACCTAAAGTATTTCGCTCCAGTGCCTGCCAAAATGACAGGCAATGGCGGGCACCCCTTGTTTGACAGAGGCTTGCCACAGTAAAGACACGGACCTCCTTTGACCAGTCGTGGAACGTGTCCTAGCTGCTGTAAGTGAGTCAACAACTTCCTTGAAGAAAGCTTGCGAAGAGCCTCACCAGTCAGAGCCAGTTTCTCACGACCTCTGCGTGCTTCCGGGGGATCCTTCTGACTTGACGGAGTGTAGGCAGGGTAGTTCTTGGAGCTGCCACCTCCACGACAGCTTTTGGTTCCCTGCAAACAAAGAGTCCCTTTCTTCAAAGCACGAGGATGCGTCCACTTTTTCTTTGCCATGGCATTCACTGCAAACAAGCCCTTTAGCCCGAGGAAACACCATGCTTGCACATGTTGGAAGAAGCTGTGACTGCAACATCTTGGGAAGATGACATGTTGGAGAAGTGTTAAATGAATGTACACAGCAGTCGGTACTAGACCTAGGCCGGCGATCTGTGGGAAAACCTGCAGCAGAACTGAAGCGGTTCACACAAGACCGTAAACCCCGAACCTAAACCCTGCAAAGCCAGCTCTCCCGCAGAAGGGGTTCACCACCACCCCTAAGGTCCGGACCTGAGCGACAGGGAGTTGTTTTTGTTTTTGTGTGGTGGTTTGGGTTTTGGTTTGGTGTAAGTTTTAGGGGGTGTGTAAAGCGCGCAGAAACCCTGGGAGATACCCGAAAAAGCTTTCCCCCACCTAATTTCGAGTTTTTTGCAAACAGTTCGAAACGGCAAAGTTTAAGACGCATAGTCGAGAAGTAGGGGCTCAGAATATGTAGCAGAGTGTGGCATGACGAAAGTACCGTAAATACCGAGTAAAACGGCTCTTGTGGTGATACTGCTGGGTGTGTTCGCGTAACAGTGTCGTCATCATCCCCCCCCCTCACCCCCCCACCCCCCCCCCCAGCAAGTCCAAAATCAAGAGCCCGAGTTTGCAAACTCGACAAGTCGATTTTGAGGTCTATTATGATGATCGCACATGACGAAAGTGCCGTAAATACCGAGTAAAATGGATGTCGTCTTAACATGGCTAAGAGCAAGTGTAGTTGGTAGGGGTGGGGGGTGCCTACTACTACTACTACTACTACTACTACTACTACTACTACTACTACTACTACTACTACTACTACTACTACTACTACTATATACTATATACTATATATAGTATACCGCTATATACTGCTGCTACTGCTACCACTATACTGCTACTGCTGCTGCTACTGCGACTATAGTGCTACTACTATACTACGACTACTATACTATACTATACTACTATACTACTATACTACTACTACTACTACTACTACTACTACTACTACTACTACTACTACTACTACTACTACTACTACTACTAGTATACTATACTATATTACTACTACTATTATTACTACTACTACTACGACTACTACTAATAGTACTAGAGGATTATATATCATTATTATTATTATAACTATTACTATTACTATTACTCTTAGTCTACTACTTACTACTACTACTACTACTACTACTACTACTACTACTACTACTACTACTACTACTACTACTACTATACTACTTACTACTACTACTACTACTACTACTACTACTACTACTACTACTACTACTATACTACTACTAACTACTACTACTACTACTACTACTACTACTACTACTACTACTACTACTACTACTACTACTACTACTACTACTACTACTAACTACTACTACTACTACTACTACTACTACTACTACTACTACTACTACTACTACTACTACTACTACTACTACTACTACTACTACTACTACTACTACTACTACTACTACTACTACTACTACTACTACTACTCTACTACTACTACTACTACTACTACTACTACTACTACTACTACTACTACTGCTACTACTACTACTACTACTACTACTACTACTACTACTACTATTACTGAAAATACTATCCTACTATACTTTACTAGCTAAATATATATATATATATATATACTATATACTATATACTCTATATACTGTATACTTTATACTACATATGTTCTATACTATATATACCATATTATATACTTTACTATATATGCTATACTATACTATACTATACTATACTATACTATACTATACTATACTATATACTGCTCTGAAGGGCACCGGCTTGACCTTTTGGGAAACCAGCACGTGCTGACATGCAAAACTTACAAGACCTTAGCAAAGCTTGACATGCCGATTTCCCCGATGCCTTTCCACTTGGTGAGCCCTAGTGTGCAACTTGCGGCCTTTTGTCGAGGCCGCCTGAAATTGGCTCTCTGCCTCAGGATCCGTCTCACCCACCACTTTTGAAGTGTTTGTTTGGAAAGGAAGGAAAACATGTCACCTGCATGCGAGCACGTCGGCCCTGCATTTGCGGTGTCATGCACAGAGGGAGAGGGAGAGAGAATAGAGACTTGAGAGGGACAGAGAGCACGACAGCATGGCAACACATATATACATGCATGCCCGATGTCACATGAGGAATCATGCGAACAAAACAAAGCAACAGCAACAGCAGTAGCATGCACACATGCTTTGTGCACGTGCCTATATTTGGCCAAGTACAAAATAATCATGCACCGATGGCACATGCAGATTCTCGTTCTTGGGACCAACGACATGGCAGGCAGGCCATTGCCAAAGGATCTGGGTGTATGCTGCATATACCACCTGCACATTGTATACTCATCGTGCATGCACAAAGACGACGACCAGCGACGAAATCGCCATGCAGGGCTTAATGCTCGCAGGCAGTGAAAGGAGCAGCTTGATTTGCATGCAAAGGTGGGTGTCGTTTGTGACAGCAGCCTTTTCTTGAGCTTTTGTAGCAACTCACACCTTTCGGAGCCGGCACAGCATGTCGACTGCCACACAGACGGACCAAGTGGTGGCGGATCTGCAGGCAATCGCAGGCTTCTTGGCGACGATCAAGGATGCTGGCAATTACGACTCTGTTCGTGAAGGGCAGGTCCTGGCCCCCATCCAGCGGGTTCAAAGCATGAGGCTGAAGCCACAGGATGGCACAGCCTTGGTGAATGCTTGGCAGCAAGGCCCTTGGACACAGGCACAGAGCCAGAGGTTATCCGAAGCAGTTGCTGCCGTCGTTTCGAACCAGAGCAATGCTGCAACAGACAAGCGAGGCATGCAACACCTCAGCAGTTTCGAACACTTCTTGTCAGTGAAGGACATTGAGATTTTGGGTGGTCAATGCAACAACACAATGAAGCTGGAATGCCTCGCAAGCAGGTGCTGCAGACTTCGTTTGGTGTGCCCAAGCGAGCCTTCAGTCCGAGCCATTCCCGCAGCAGGAATGGCACACGGGGCCAATTTGGGATCGCCTTCTGAATCCTATGCACATAGTGTGACTTTCAAGAAGATATTGAAGCAGAAGGCCAAGCAAGTGGGCAGAAATGGAATCCATTTGCTCCACTACCCCGGCTCCGTGGAGGAACTTCCTGCTGAGCTTCGCACTACAGCCTACGATGCAGACGACCCCGCATGCTCACCCCAAAGCCTTTCTCCTGCCGATGTGCACAAGGCTTCTGGGCAGCTCGTCATCCGAGGCTCTGACAAGAGGGTCAAGAACTCTGGCACGGGAGGCTTCATGCAGACCATGCAGCAGATGATGCAAACATCCAATCCCGATCAGCTTTTGTCGAACCTACAGATTTTCAGGCCCGGACAATCGCAGCAGGCATCACAGGCAACTGCCAATGTTCAGCAGCAAGCTCTTGTCACATCGTCCTCCAGTACCAGTGGTCAAAATGCAGCTTGCACTGCTGGTGTGCAGCAGCCATCACAGGTTGCCCTGCAGTCGCCGAGTCGTGAGACCGCAGCCGTCCCTCAGGATCCTCAAAATTCGCCACCTGCTGGTGGGGTCGCACCTGGCAAGACGGTTCAGACGGAGCTGGACGATGACGGGATCCTTGCCGCTGCCGCCCTTGTGTCAGATGCCTTGGACGAGAAGAAGGGTGAGAGGAGTCGTGCCTCCGAATCTTTCAAGAATGGCAGTGCAAAGGGCAAGGGGAAAGGCGCCAAAAAAAACGAAGGGCAAGGGCAAGGGCAAGAAGGGCACGAATGGCGACAAGACCGTCGGCAAGAAGGGCAATGGCAAGGGGGGCAAGGGCAACAGCACCAAGGTGATGAAGAAGCCCGCCATGGCAAAGGCAAAGGCCATGGCGAACCCAGCGACCGGCACACGGGAGTACTATGCCAACTTGCCGATGAAGAAGAGATTGGCCCTGCGACCACATGGTTGCTCGAAGTGTCGCTGGAGCCCTGGCTGCCGGCCGTGTTGCAATGTAAAGTAGTATATGCTAATGCAGGAGCAATGCCACTGCTGTGCCGAATGTTCACAGCCATGCTCACGAGTTGTATGTAGGCCATGCATGCTCCATGAACGGGGTCTGGATGCATTTATGTTCTGCACTATATGCAATCAAAGAACCCACGGAACACGTGTTTCTGCTGCGAGAAAAAGAAGGTGCATCGTTATCTGCGACACACACACACCTCAGATGATCCGACATGTTGCCAGCTCTTTTGTGCCAGTGCCGTTTTGCACATCAGTCTGCAGTGGCTTCACTTGTGTGGTTATGTCGACCTCGAGGCTGTGTGTTCTATGCCATGATGCACTGCTAACTTATTCTATAGAATCGTTTCTGTATATAGCCGTACACTTTCAGATCTGTATGTAGGACTGATTGCGAGTATCTCGAATATGATTCTTATTTCGCTTGCAGGGCTTTCTTAAGCTCGCGAGCAGGATCTATAAAGATGGCTTTGGCTGCATTGGGCCGAAAGCACTATGTCTCCCAGAGTGCTCTGGAGGCAGTGTTGAAGGAACTGAAGGAAACCCCTCTTCCGGATGCTGGGTCCAGAAGAACTATCAAGCGGGCCAGGGATGAGCACATCGACATGCAAACTCCTCACGGTTCGTTGATCAAAGTTGCAAAAGGACGAGTCTCAGGTGAATCTGCCAGTGTTGAATCTGCCCGCTTTTTTGTGGCATTTGTGCAACGACCTTCCCCAGTTCGCGACCTTCTTCCAGAAGAGGATGCACGTGCATCCGAATGGGCCAGATCGTGCATGGACCATGACACCATATTCGGACGAGATAAGTCCTGGCAACCAACTCAAAGTTTCCAATAGCAGGAAAGTACACGGGTTCTATGTGACCTTTGACCAGTTTGGCGCCGAAGCAAGGTCCCGGGAAAGCTTCTGGTTTTGCTTGTCCCTGGCAAGGAGTTCTGTGGTGAACCAGCTGCTAGGAGGACTTTCAGGCCTCACCCACGAACTGATCAGTTCAGGCCCTGTGAAAGCTCTGAGCACTGGCTGCATGTTGACGATGCCCGATGGGCAGAGATGCATGTTTTTCGCAAAGTTGGGAACTATGCTGGGCGACGAATCAGCTCTGAAGTTTGTTTTTGATGTGAAAGGAGCATCGGGGACCCTGCCGTGTCCCCTGTGCTCCAACATCATCAGCAGAATCAGTGCTGCTGAAGATTACGATGCGACTGGCACTTTAAGGAGCATATCCTGCACGGATCCGAACGATTTCGTCCTCCGGACAGATGCTGAAATCTTTCGGGCACACGAGCTACTGGAAAGGCGGCAGGCGACGTTGTCGAAGAAGGATTATACTCGATTGGAACAATCCTTGGGTCTCAACTGCAACCCCAATGGAGTCCTGCATTATCGGTCCATGCCACTCGTGCAGTCGTTAATGTTTGACTGGATGCACGTGTTTCTCGTGACGGGCCTGTGGCAAGCAGAAATGGGCTTATTGCTGCCCCTGTTGTACAGTGCCGGTCATTCGGCGGAGACTTTGTTGGCTTACATGATGCAGATCCAATGGCCCCAGAACCTTCGTGGTAGACTCAATGAGACATTGCAGCTTTTCAAAAAGAAAACCTCGCCGAACGAGTTCAAGTCGTCAGCCTCGCAAGGGCTCAATGCCTATCCTTTGGTGCGGATGTTTCTGCTGAGCTTGGATGTGTTTAGCATGAACGATGCACTCAAGTTGGCCGTCAAGTCTTTCTTGAAGTTGTGCATTGTCTTGGACATTCTTTTGTCCATCAATCGTGGCGAAAGTGATGCCAGTCGTGGTTTGGAAGGAGCCATACAGCAGCATTGCCAAGCCTTCAAAACAGCACACGGCGAAGACCACATCACTCCGAAGTTCCACTATGCCCAACACTTGGGCAGCATGGCTGCAACCAAGGACCTCGTGTCGTGCTTTACGCACGAGAGGAAACACAAGGAGGTAAAAAACTTTGCAGACCACATCAAAAACCCTACCAAGGGTTTCGAGGATGCCATCATGAAGGATGTGCTCGGCCGGTTCCTCTTAGCAATGGAAGGCAGCACCGGACTTGTGCAGCCGCATTTGATCTCCCCCAAGCCTGCGAGCCCTCTTCTCATGGCGAGTTTGGTGAGTGCTTTCGGGGCCGAGTCCGTGGGCCAAGCTCAGGGGGCTTTTGCAGCTCAGGTTTCACCTGGCTGCATTGTCCACAAAGCTGACTTTGTTAAGCTGAAGTCCGGTGATGTAGCCGAAGTGTGGTTGCATGCACGACTCGGCTCCGGCGACCTTGTCACTTTGCTGCAGCCGTTTGCTGGCCTTGGTCGAAACATGTACCAGCAGAATGCGGAGGGGGCTCGTTTCGTGGCCTCATCGGGCATTCAGTCTGCATGCCTGTATGTGCCCGAAGGCCCTGGCAGAGTCAGGGTTGTGCCTTGATGGAGTGCATGCACCTAGAAAAACATGATTTTGCACCTGCCTGCGAGCAATGTTGCCCTGCACGACGGTGTTTATGTACACTTCGAATGTTGCATTCATTCTATGGAAATGTTGTTATCTACATCTTCTATGTGCACTTAGCTAAGTCCGATAACTCAGTTACGATATGTGGACTTATAAGACATGCTATGTTGTAGTTACCTATATGCTGTAACTTCTGTATCTACTTAATAAAGTATGTAAGTGCATACTAACCCACACGCCCTGCCAAGTAAGCTATGTTCCGTAATTAAGGGGTGTTGGGCTCTCTGGGAATATGTTCCTAAACCGAAGCTTTAGCCCGAAGCCGTGCCTGGCCCTTCTTGTGCCGGCGAGGTCTGCGATTTGTACAGCCAGTGGAACTGGGCCGCAGGGGGACCAAGCCTTTGGGTTTAGGGGTTTAGGGTTTAGGGTTTAGGGTTTAGGGTTTAGGGGTCATAAGTATAGCGTCTTTCAGGTTTTTATGTTTAGAGTTTCGGGTTTCTTTCAGCTTTTATGGTTAGAGTTTCGGGTTTCTTTACTTATCGAAGCTGTCCTGCTCCTGCCGCTGCCGTTCTTGGCATCTGTGCCGTGGTCGGATCCTGCAGCAGCCAAACTTGCAGCAAGAGCCTGCAGCCTGTTTTACTTAGTGGACTTGTTGAAGCCCGAAAAACTGGACATTTCAACCCTAAGCCCTAAACCCCGAAGGGGCTAAACCTGAAACACTTGAAACCCTTATGCCAGACTCACGAAAGCTTGGAAAGCTCCGCAACTTCAGATCCTGAGATGGAACTGTTAGAGACCCCTTATCGAACCCTCGTAGGCCCTTTTGTTTTAAAACTCTTGTCCAACCCATATCGACCCATTGTAGAACCTTTTCCGACCTTCATGAAGCCCTGATAAAATTCTCTGCGTAGGTCCCTTGTCGGACCCTTTTAGAACCCGTATAAGGGTGCTCTACCAGGCCCCTCTGTGCCGAGCCCGCCGTGGAGAGAAGTGACCCTGACCTCGCAAAGCGAGGCGGTGGCTCATGTCCGGTTTTTGCTGGGATTTTCTTCAAAGTGTTGCTTAAGGGTTCCTTAAAAGGGGATCCTTTCAGGGTTCCTTGAAAGGGGATCCTTTAAGGGCGCTTTATGGGCACTGCGGGATTTGGGGTTGGGGGTGTTAAGGGTTTTAAGGGTTTAAGGTTTAGGGTTCGGGGTTCAGGGTTTAGGGTTTTAGCATTTTATGTAAGGTTCGCGCGGCAGATTGAAGAAGGATTGGAGCTTAATGGGGGCAACGCTTGTCTCCGGGAAATCCGACCTACATATGCAAAGACGCAGGTAGGGTTCAATCCTATCCAGAACCGCAGAACCGCAGCTCTTGTTGTTGCTGCTGCTGCGACTGCTACTGCACTACGACCCTGTCGTTTATGTTGACCACCACGACCACAAGTGCTATCAGGACCATACGATAACAAGGACGACTCTTCCTCCTGCTGCTGTTCCTACTAGTACAACCTACTGTTTTGGCCGCGAGCACGAATATTGCCAATACTACCGATGCCACTGCCGCGACGGTGCCACCGAGGAGAGAGCATTACTCATCGTCACGCCCTTCAACATTGTCATCCTGAGCGATTTCTGGTTTGGGCCGCAGGGCAGTAAGCTCTAAACCGTCCAAGCCCATGGCATGCGCTTCCTGTACGCAGTAAGCCCGAAAACAAGCCGTGCTTTTTGTCGAGGATACATCAACACGTTTTTACAGTACGCAACATGCTGTCCTTACTATTCTTGATATTGTTCTTGTTCTTATTCTTTTCCATAGACTTTGATGATGAATATGAGCATGATTACTTCCCGAGAGCAAAGAAGCTCAACCCTAACCCCTGAATCCCAAACCCTGAGCCTTGAACCCCAAATCCTAAACCCTGCCAGGCTACGATTGCTTCATCTCCCACAACTGGGGCAAGGTTGGTTGATTTTGGTTTTAGTGTGTTTGGTCATGTGTTTTAAAGGTGTTGTTTAGGTTGTGATCTTTGTTTGAAAGTCTTCGGTGTGTTCGGAGTTTTTGCTTGAAGTTGTTGGTGTGTTGGCGTAAGTTCGTTTTTTTTCCCTATTTGTGTGGTTTCGGTGGGTTTAAGGTTTTCAGTGTTTTTGTTGTTTTCGGCGGGTTTGAACGTTTTCTGCAGTTTGTGGGTTTTCTGTGGTTTTGTGGTTTTCTTTTGAGTTTTCAGGGATTTTGTGTTTTTGTTTTTTGCTCGTTCATGGCGTTTAGCTTTCTTAGGTGTCTTAGGCAGGCATTGTTGTTTGTTTGATTCGGGGTTCATAAGGGTCGTGTAGGGCTGATGGAGCTTATGGGCTGAGGGTTTAGGGGTTGTTGGGCTTGGGATTTACGGTGTAGGGATTAGGATTCATGCTCCCTAAACCCTAAACCCTAACCCCGAAACCCCTACCTTAACCCTTATCGATGCATCATGTTCAGTTTGGGTCTGGGGTTTCTTCGTGGGCGCATAAGGCTCGCGTTCAGGGTGTAAAGGTGGGGCAGATAGGGGCAACAATAACCAGAATAGGGTTTCGGGCTCCTTTGTAGAATCGCAACAAGGACGCCCAAAGAACATGTTCGTACGCTTTTCGGTTTCAGTATTTGGGCTTGGGGTTTCAAGTTCACCAGATGCCTTTTTGCTCTGAAAGCTTCCTTCCCGAACCCTGAGGCCAAGACCTTAGCCGTCAATCCCCAAACATAGCCCCCCGACTTCCCCAGATCCCGAAACTTGGAAAACTGAAGCCGCTCCTTAAAGCCTTAACACTTCAACCCTGAACCCAAAATCTGGGTTTTCCGGATCAACTGGCATGCAGGATTCCCAGGGCCGGGATAACCACCAGAGGGTGGTGCGGATTGCCACCGGCTCAGCATGTGGGATCTTGCGTCCTAACCTTTAGACCCTTGACCCTCAGCTCTGAATTTGAAAACCTGAGTGCCTTGCCCTAAACTTAAGACTGCATCCTAACCTGTAGACCCTTGACCCTCGGCTCTGAATCCTAAAGCCTGAGTGCCTTGCCCTAAACTCAAGACTTAAGTTAAGCTTAGCCTCTGCTTGAACTAAACCACCTGAAACCCTGATTCCTAAACCCCAAACTTACGGCTGGGAATTGAGGCTTCATAAGTGGCATGGCAAAAGCAGGTATGATTGAGTCTAGTTCATACTTGTTACACCACATTATAATCGTCCAGGCTCCAATACTACTGCTGCATCAGCCGCTGACCTTCGAGGTCATCCTCAGTCGCCGGGCAATAGGACAGCTCATGATATTGACTATCCCAGGTCACAGAACTACGAAGGACGATATAAACCCTTCATTACCCATAATAAGGAATATACCAGACTTCCCATAGTCTAGGGTCATTAGGGTAATGCAGGATCTATATCATCAATCTTACTGCAATTACCGAGCTGGTCTGCGATCGGTGGCGACGTCCCCTCACTGTCGACCCTGGGACCTTAGAAGAAAACCGAATATTCAATGCTGCGCCTTCTTCCCTAGACCATAGCCATTGTCAAGCAAGGCCAGCAGCCTGCAAAGTCATGGCATCCAAGTCTTTCTGCAAGATTGCGAGGCGCCTTCAGTTGCTGATTGGGCTTCGGAGCGGCAGTGGGTTTGTGAAGGGCTTGCCGGTTCCGAATGTTGCGAGTACGGAGGGTTTAGGGTGGTTGGTGACATGTTGCGAGGTAACAGGGCATCCTCAGGCGTGCACGTGCCCGAGCACCCTAAATCCCTCGTGGAAGTTGAACGTTTCTCCAGCGCACTCGAGGCGGAGGGGCCTTCCGTAACTCTATGCGCCTTCACAGTAGGACGTGCTAAGTGTCCGAAATGTCGGTGTTCTCCTGTGCGGCGTGAAGTCTTGCTGCCTCAAATGTTGGAAGCACGACTTGAACTCCCAGGCCCTCGAAAGTGCTGCACTGCATGGCCTGTTGCAGCAGCCTTGTCTCCCCCTTGAAAGGGATCCGGCAGAACACCGGGCATCCATTCTGTGGCAAAAAGAAGAGGATTCCACCACCTCCAGGCCTTGCTCTCTAAAATTCTTCGAAGCACCCCCCAGAAACTGAGACAGCAAGCGTATAAGTTCAAACCATGCAGAGGGTGATGGCAACTGCAGCTTAGCATGCTAGTACTGATCATGGTGGTGATGATGGTGGTGATGATGATGGTACGCATGATGATGACCAAGACGCTGACGGCTAGCAAGCTTATGCAGCAGGCACACCGATACAGCAGCACCGACGAGGCCTGGCTAGGGGGGAGTCGCTCAGTAAACCCTGCACCCTAAATCTCTTACAGAGGAGCTTAGATAAAAAAGCCTCGTGGGACTCTGGGTGTATAGCGACTACCATCAGAGTGTCAAGCTCAGAGATCCTAATACCCCTTAATTGAGGAATATACCTGAAACCATAATATTAAGGCCCCTATATATTCCTCAACTAAGGGGTATTGGGATCTCGGAGAGGTCAGGTTACTGCGCCAGGTCGAGGGTCCGTGGCTATGCTTCGATGTCAGATCTTTCAGTAGGGTCATCTGGGTGGTTGTCAAAATTAGGATCCCTTTTTGGGTCCTGAACATAATACCGCACCTATTATTTAGGGTACCCAAAAAAGGGATCCTAATTTTGACAACCACCCATCTTGATCTGAGGTGATGCTGGAAGTTCAGGGTAGCGCCTTGTAGAATCCGCCAAGGTGGTATCTTAGGTTAAACCGAAAGCCACGCTTGGCAATAGCATATCGTATCTCGGAACCAGAGAGAATAAGGCAAGTCGTTATCAGATATCTTCGCAGCTTCAGCCAACAGCCAGCAATGCAGCACATGCATGCCACTGAATGGCATGCTGTTGACCTAGAGTAAGCGGATGCAAGGAAACAGTGAATGACGGGTTATGAGCATCGAAGCTTGGTGAAGCAACACATGTCCTCACAGCGAGTAAACGGCGCTTTGTTCTGATACGATATGGCATAACCTGCAACTAAAAACCCCAACGCCCCTAAACATCCTTGAGCCCCACCCAAACCCATGACGAGCTCTGAACTTTTATTTATCCCTGCGCCCTGTAGTAGCCCTTTTTTACAAACCCTCATCGTGACCCTGCCCTTTAGTGACCCCCTCAAAAAAACAAAAAAACAAGCGGACCCTACTTTCTGCGGAACGAGGCTATGGTCGATGGCATGCGGCGGTCGTCTGTGGCGTTGATTTTCGTCACCAGGCCTTCTCTGAAGGTTTTAGAGTCTGGGGTTTGGGATTCGCATTTCGGGGTTTAGGGTTTCAGGATTTGGGTTGAGGGCTTTTTCTAGGATTTTATGATTTGGTATATTTGGGGTTTGGGGTCTCGCTGCTGATCATCGTTTTCAGCATGAGGGCTTGCAGATGCTTGTGGTTAAGGTTCCGTTACTGTAGGGGCCTTAATCGTTAGAAGAGGGTTTTGGGTGGGATATGATGCTAGAATTATAATCAGGAACCACCGAAACCCCATTTTACTTATTCAGGCGCCCCCTACATCCCTAAACCCCAAACCCTAAACTCTAAACCCTAAACTTTCGACTCCCTGGCTGTGGCAGGTCCTACATCCAAAAGATCGAGGACGGCCGGGTGGACGACGACTGCGTTGCCCAGCAGACGCCTTGGGTCTGCCCTGCAATGGGTTCCTGTTAAGGAAAGAAACTATATAAAGTTACCATAACGGGCATCTACAGCTAACAAGTAATATGGTTTCCTTTTTATGGTGGCGCACTTTTAGTTCAAGCTACCATAACAGGGCTCTATAGCAAGTCGAAATATGGTAATTCTACTTAACTTCCTGAACAAGAGCCCAGTAGGAGCAAAGGGTTCAGGGCATAAGGCCGATGATTGCGAGTGTAAGTCGAGGGGGTTTTAGCCGTGTAAAACTTAAAACTTCTTCATGGCTCTATTATATCGGGGAAGAGCAATGTGCAAGATCAGAGAAGATCGGCGGCAAGTTCGATGCTAGCCTCCGCTCCAGCTCAGCAAATGCCACCGTGTCACCTTCGAGCTTGGCTTACTGTCGTGTGTTGCGCATCTTCGCGCCGCTTTGCCCAAAAATGTCCCAAGGACCACCGTAATCCCAAATAACCTACCTTGTCAAGGACTCATATAAAGAAATCATATGAGGGAACCCTAAAAAGGCAGGTTCCTTAGGGTCCGGGTATGTGCTTGTTTAGCAAGAAGCCCTAAACCCTAAACCCTGCTCGGAACCGAGGTTCAACCTGGCCAAGCGTGCTCCTGCCATCCTCCCCGTGGTGCTGGAACCAGAGCTGGTGAAGACAGGCCATCCGCGGTTGAGGGAACTAACGGTTTCGGGTTTAGGGTTCATTAACTACCCATAGGCCCCAAAGTACTATTCCACCGTGAAAAAATCTGTACTGCGCCCCAAAACCCCAATCTGACTATAGAACCTCTTATAGTAGAAGCCAGGAAGTTGGAACATCATTCTCCTCATGCCCTTAAGGCTAATTATAAGGGATCCCTAGCACGAATCCTCCTAAAGCCATGTTCCAACTTTCTGTCTTCTACTGTATTGTGTTTAACCCAAGGCTTCGGAATGTAAAGGGATGCTCAGGCCTAAGCCCCTGAAAACAAAACGGTTTAGGGTTTAGGGTTTAGGGTTTTGGTTTAGGGTTTAGGGTTTAGGGTTTAGGGTTCAAGCGCTCTCTTTCTCTCCCCCTCTCTCTCCGGCTTCAGTGCAGAGGCTGGCTGTAGCTTCGGAGCCCCTTCAACCGGAAACGGTCGATCCTAAATTCCGAGACCGAAGCCTCGAACCTTCGCATAGCATCGGAGTCAGAATAGCTAGGTAGGTCTTTGGGACATTTTTTATTTGCTCTTATGGGGCTTAAGAGGATCTTGCCTACTAATCATCTTCAAAGGCTTTAAGAGCACCTCCCTGACAAGTATTCGTTTCATGTTTCAGGGTTCCTTATCATTGTAACTCCAGCAGATCATATTCCGAAGCCCTACTCTAATCATCAAGGCCCCTATATTCTGCGGATCCTTCGACATCCCTGAATCCCTAAACTTCTAAACCCTGTCGCCCTGACTCCCTCGCCTTAAAACCAGCAGCCCGGCAACCCTCAAACCCCAACCCCACAGCCTCAAATTCTGCAGTTCTAGACTCCTGGTCCTATGGTTTGGGGTTTAGGGTGTAGGCTAACCGTTTCAGTACTTAGAGGCCCAGAAGACTTAGTAAGTAGGTTATAAGTAGAGTTATAACTACCCTAAATGGTTTTGCCCCCAACTAGAGCCCTACTTATAACCGACTTACTAAGTCCCCTGGGCCTTTAAGTAGACCCTAAAACCTAAACCCCACAGATCCCTTTAAGGAACCCTATAGATCCCTTTAAGGAACCCTATGGCGGGTAACCGTTACAGTAGCCCTCCTGCGGCCCGAGCTTCCAACAGGTAAGTGGGGCTGGAATCGAGCCACAGCCTCGAACCAGCTGTTTTTTTTTTTGTGAGGCTTGGGCTTCAGAGAATTAGGGTTTCCGGCTTTACTTCTGCTATGCTCTTATTTTGAGGTTTGGGGTTCGGAGAATACAGCAACCGAGTAGGGTTTTCGGCTTTAGATACTTCTTATATGCTCTTAAACGGCACCCCTACGACTGGTATTGGTAGCTATTCAGGCTTCTGTAGAAGGGCTTAGGGCTTCAAGACTTTAGCATGCAGGGCTCAAGATTTTTTTTTGCGGGTAGGTTCAGGCTTTAGGGTGCAGGGCTGCGTTCTTTTTTCTTGGGGGGCAGTTTAGGCTTTAGGGTGCAGGGCTTCAGGGGTTCCTTCGGTGGGTTTAGGGAGGTTGGGATGAGGGTTTTGCCGGGCTCGGGTTCTACTCCGAGGTCGGGGGGCTTTGTAGGTTACATGCAGGGTTGTGCTTAGGATACCCTAAACCCTAAACCCTAAGTTAGGGACTTACTTCGAGCCAGAACTATAATCTACGCATATCTACGCGTTTCTACGCGCCCTGACCTTCAAGCAGGTGTGGATTTGGGGTTTGCGATTTCAGGGCTCAACTTGGCTTGAAAGGCGGATATCAAAAGCCTTAGGTCTAGCAGAAATTCTTTGAAGAGGCCCCGATCTTAAACCCCGGCTCAACCTGAAATCCTTGGACCATAGACCGTCCCCAAGCAGCCCAACCCCTCTTGAAAGAAACGACCCGACACAAGGGGTTTAGGGTTTAGGGTTTAGGGTACCCTTCTTCAACAAAAGACCCTACAACCAGAATCCGGTAATGCCTTGATTGTAACCGATATTAGCCATGCAAAGGTCTATTTTTTAAAACGATTCTGAACCCATAAATGCAGCACCCTTGTAGAACCCTCAGTGAACCCATAAATCCACACACCCGCAAACCCCAAACCCTGAAGCCCTGTACCGCTACAATCTCAGACGCCTCTAGCTGAGGTCTACGCCCACCTTTCGGGCAAGATGATTGTAGATCTTTCCGGCCGCATGCTGAGAAGTTCGATGGTTTGGGCTTTAGTGGGCTTCACGGTCACAGGCTTTCAATAGGGTTTGGGGTTCAGGGGTTTGGGGTTTCGGGTCTTGGCTGCAGTGGTTCTTTATGCACACCGTCGGCAGACAACCCCAGCGACAGCGACGACTTCATCCTGAGACAGATGTGTGACGTGTGTACAACCTGTGAATCCTGAACCCCCGGTTCGGGGTTTGGGGTTTCGGTCCCTCAGCCCATCTTTCGCCAATACCCAGAACCTGAAACTTAAAACTTGGTCCGACATCGAACCCTAAACCCCAAACCCTAAACCTAAGCCCTCAACCCGACACCTCGAACCCCAACCACACCCAAAGCCCAACGAAGGAGGCGATGTGACTTCGTTTCCGGCTGTCCTGGTCAGTGCACGCAGCCCAGCACCACCAATCCAGGGGTTTAGGGGTTTAGGGGCTTAGGGGTTTAGGGGCTGAAGGTTCAGAGATTTAGGGCTTGGGTTTAGGGCTTTTTAGGGCTTAGGGGTTTAGGGTTTAGGGTTTTTGCACCTTATGAATTATGACTGCAACTGTCGCTTGCTTCAGCAGGTCTTCTCAAAGTTGAGGGCTTCGTGACATGAGCTACAGCCAACAGGTGGGTGGTTGTCAAAATTAGGGTCCCCTTTTGGGTCCCTATTATAATACGGCAGTTAATATTTAGGGTACCCAAAAAGGGACCCTAATTTTGACAACCACCCATGTCTTGAATCCAAGCCTTGATACCTAAACCCTACAATAGCAGTCGCAGCCGAAAAGCTGCACGAGTCGACAGCAATGTGGGATTGGAGAGCAATGATCTTACTGGCCAAGGTATGGTCGCCAGATTGGGGTTTTGGCGCATATCCAGCATTATCCTAAAATCTAAACCCTTGATCGAGTGGTACTCAATCTTCAGACGAGCAAGCCCAAAACATCTGCAGCGTGTTGACCCAGGGCGTGGGCCAGCGGATGCAGAGCCAGCTCGACCTACTGGAGCTGCGCATTCTCCAAGAAGCTTACAGGCCTCGCTAGATAGACAGAGGTGGACAGAGAAAGAGACAACTAGACAGAAACAGTGAGAGAGAGAAACAGAGAAAAAACAACAAGAGAGAAGCGATTCTGCAACGTCACAGTGCAGGCGACCAGGAGAAAAAGGTTGGAAGGACAAACCCTAAACCTTGGTGGTGTGGGGGGTCAAACACAGCTGCCATCGCTTCACTGCCGGAAAGTCTTCACTGCCACATCTCAAGAAACAGACGGCGCCGGCGAGGCTGATGTGCCCCTCAAACAGGAGAGAAAGAGAAAGAGAGAGGAGACACACAGACAGAGGCAGAGAGACAGACAGACGGACATGGTTCGAGAGCGAACCGGCAGACAGAGAGACAGACAGCCAAGGATTGTTCGACAGACAGCCTGTCACAGAGACAGAGACAGAGAGAGAAGAGAAGGACAGCATCGACACGCCGACCAACAGATAGATGGGTCGGTGCGTCTGAGTTTGAGATTGCCTCTCAGCGATCGTGAGGCGGAGAAAAGACGGTGCAAGCCAAGCACACCACCTAGAAGCACATACCTCAAGCTCAAAACTCTAAGCCCCCACACCCCCAAGCAAACGTACTCAACGAGCATCTGAAAACATCCTATATACCCAAAACGAGAACCGTAATCCCCAACACTAAACCCTAAAGCCTAAACCCTTCAACCCTAAACCCCAACCCCTAAACCCTAAACCCTTCAACCCTAAATCCCAACCCCTAAACCCTAAAGCCCAAACTCTTTTGTAACATTGCTCCACTAGGTAGGGCTTTGGGACATACTCATATTTTTCAAAGGCTCCAAAAGCCCCTCCTAGTCCAGGCTACATCCGAAGTTGATGCAAGCTCGACCTCCCCCCATGATTCCGCACAAGGCCGCAGTCTCGGAGGGGTTTAGGGCTAAAGTAAAAGCCAGAAAGTTGGAATATGATGATCCTAAACCCTTTATGGTAAATTATAGGGTATCCTACCCTGAAACCATATTCCAACTTTCTGGAGTTCCCTGTAAGGGGTTTAGGGCTTAGGGGTGTAGGCTTCGGGGCTTAGGGGCTTAGGGTTTGGGGGTCTAAGGGTTCAGGGTTTGAGGGTTTAGGGAGTGTCCCGGAATGGAGGGGTGGGAAACCCTTATAGTCCACAGTATGACAATGGTCAGAGTCATTCGTACGGTTGATGATAGGAATCCTGCATCACCCAGAATAGGGAATATACCACAATTCCCATACATTAGGGTCCTTAAGGTAATGCAGGATTTATGTCATCAACCGTAGTGCAGGAATATTACCCCTAAAACCCTTGCGGATCGAGAGCACTGCCTTCAGCGGCGCGAGGTTCCCAGGAAAACTAGGGCCTTAATATGAACAAGTATGAGCTCCTTTTATAGTTTCAGTAAGTAAGGCATACTATACGTTTTACTCTAAGCGACGCTACAAAGGTTTGCTTTACGGGGTACTAAAGAGTTTGCCTCGGGGCCTGAATGATTATGAAGCTTGTTGCTTGGGGCTTCGTAATGGGGTTGTCCTGTAACATAAGTTAAAGCCCTTTGTCTTATTCCTTAGGTACGGCCCCACTCAGTAATAGTTGAATCATATTCATAATATAGATATATTCGGACCTTAATAGTAGCCCTATTATAGACTCTTACTGTAAAGGGGGCCGTGCCTAACTTATTCCAGTGCATGAGGCGCCTGTTATGTATAGCGAGGATCGGACGGAGCAGGGGCCGGAGCAGGGGGAAGAACAGCACCCTAAGGGCTCTTTAAAGGTTACTATATTTAGAGGCTGAGGGGACTTAGCAAGTGGTTATAAGTAGGGTTATAACTCGGGTAACTCCATTTAGGGTACTTATAACCCTACTTATAACCTACTTATTAAGTCCCCTGGGCCTCTAAGTAGGGCTTTCTTCCATAATGATTACTGCAAGGTTCCATCATCGGTGTACCATAAGGGTTTTGTCGAGGCACATGTGTAGTCATGTACTGGCCAAGGACGTAGTCATGATCTCCACTGTGCGGGCGCTCAGCAACGGAAGTGAAGGAATTGTGCATGGGGCGCTTGGGGTTTAGGTCTCGTGCGACTGCTACTGTTGTTGTTGCTGCTGTCAGGGGGTATGATCGCTGTCTGTCTTACATGTGGCAGCCAAGCGTTCGTAGCGATGTTTCTTTTTGATCCTTCGATGTCGGCTCTTCGGCTGGGCTGCGCTGGGCTGGGCTGGGCTGAGGTACTTCGATATTGGCTTGGAGTTGGGCTGGGATCTCTTCCCACGCATTTCATGGAAATTCGAAATCAATGATAATGCAGTTCGAAGCGAAACTCACACAGTTTCTGTTCATCCTGCTCTTGAGAGTTTAGTGTTTATGGATTAAGGTTTAGGGTTTAGGGATGCCGTAAACCCTCAAATCTTCAGCCTTTAATCTTTTTTAAAATAGCTAGTTCGGCCCTAAACCCTAAACCCGAAGTTGAACTCTTAAACTCTTAAACTCCTCAAGTCCTAAGCCCTAAACTCTAAACCCTATGCCCTAAAGCCCCAGACCCCTACACCTCTGGCTACTTCGGCGCTCCTGCGTCCTTAACCTCTCGCCCGAGGCCTTCACCAAGTTCAAAGACAGGGAGCCTTTAGAGCTTTTGGGGTGTGAATGTGGGAGTTTCCGAAATTAGGGGTACCTATTTTGGGGGTCCTTCTAACAAGGATACTACTATTTAGGGTACTATATTAGGGTCCCCCATTTTCGGAAACTCCCATGTTGATTTTTAGGGAAGGAAGCCTTACCCAAAGCCCCCAAACAAACCCATATATAATCGAATCCTGAAATGCAGAGGCCTTGGAAACAGTTCAGGGTTACATGCAGAACCCTGGCACGTTGGAAGCCGGGTTTGCGGTTTGCGGTTGGACATGGAACCCTGGCGTCGTCGAAACCCTATTAGGGTTTGGGTTTGCTGCTGGGGCTGGCTGGGGGATGTCAGGGGGGGTGTGGGGTGAGGTAGCCTTGCATTATAAGCCTTACATCATGACCTATCCCTGTCGTGTTGTGATGAAAACTCCGAAAAAAGGGGCGGCCCTGACATCCTAAACCCTAAGCCCTCAGGTGTGCCTCATTGCGGGAGCTGTCCTTCACGTGGCCGTGCCTCGCCTTGACTGTATGGCGAAGCCCAGTGCTGCAGGGTTTAGGGCTTGAGGCTTTGGGCTTAGTCTGTACGGTTTGCAGCTGGAGGTCTAATCCAGGGATGGAGGAAATTGCTACGAGTCGAAAGAGCTAGTAACACTGTCCCCTTGCAGTCTCCAGTGTAGATGTAGCATAGTATGTACCCTAAGACGAAGTTCTATAGGAAATTCAGGGAGTAGGGTCTAAACCCTAAACCTAAGCCCTAAACCCTAAACCGAAGCCGAGACTCGTAGAAGAAGTTTGACGAGGAGACGGGTGCAAGGGTTCCGAGGGCCTTTTATGGGAGTCGTAAGTGCTCCACTTGGTGTAAGCCTGTTGTGGCGGGCTCAAGACCTGCTCTGCATGCGGAGTTGAGAAAGAGCCACGGCACCTTTAAAAAAACCTAAACCGTAGGGTCTAGAGTTAGGAGCAAGCAGCTCCCTTCAGCTATCACTTGGCGATGAAGGGCCTCATCAACGGTTAATTCCGTCAAAACCCACGTGCAGAAACCCTAAACCCTAAACACCTAAACCGTAAAACCCAAAAGCCTTGTCCGAAACCCTCCACTTAGGGTACTTGTAACCCTACTTATAACCCACTTACTAAGTCCCCTGGGCCTCTAAGTACCCCTAGGCATCTAAGGACTCATACATTAAGGCATTTGGGCCCAAGGACCATACTATATGAGGCTTTTGTGCTATTTTGGTGCCCAGGGTATTAAGGAGAGGGTTTAGGTGAACCTAAGATCCCGAATCCCCAAGCCCAGGGATGAGGGCATAACTGGCGGTTCGCGCAGAGGCTCTCGCGCTTTCAGGGTCCATGACTCTGCAGCAGCAAACTTCGAAGAGCCGTAGTGAAGGAGCCCCCAAACCTTTAAGCCCTAATATAGAGGCCTAAATAACTACCAATGCTATTGTGGGGGTTCCTCATTATAATTATAGTGTAAGGGGCCCCAAGACCCTATTCTAGTTATTAAGGTCCCTATATTAAACGTCTATTCGGGGACTTTCCGGAGGTGATCACCGGCCAGACCGCTCTCGCGGGCACGCTGAATCTTTTCTTCCGCCTCCTTGCGGCGGTCGGGCTCTTAGGGGGTCTCTTAGGGGGTCTCTTAGCGGGTCTCTAGGGGTGCTTCGAGGCTTACGGTGCCGTCCTTGTCATCATGACCCAGTACCTTCAGGATGATAATCATCATGTGAATCGGCATCGCTATCATTGGACTATCATGATCATCATCACCACCATGACCATCATCATCATCATCGTCACTCAACCGGTACCAACATCACCGTCAGTATCATCGTTCGCCACCATAATCATCATAATAATCATCGTCATCACCATCACCATCACCATCATCATTATCATCACCGTCATCATCATCACCACCATCATCGTCACTGAATCGCCACCAACATCACCATGAGCGCCACCGTTCACCATGACCGTCGTCACAATGATCGTGATCGTCATGACCTTCATCATCGTCATCATCCTTATCATCGGCATCATCGTCATCAACATCACCGTCAATATCAACATCACCAGCATCATCATCATCATCATCAGCATCAGCATCGCCGTCACCATCGTCATCATCATCGCCGTCAGGAGCAGCACCATCAGCACCATCAGCACCCTCCACATCAGGAGCATCAGCAGCACCATCCTTGCCATAACCACCGCCGGCACCATCAGCCTGATTAGCACAATCGGCACGACCAGCATCCTCAGCAGCAGTGGTATCATCACCATCGTTGAAAAAACCATGCCGGCAGTCATCTGTCCTGTGTGCTCCTGTACGTGCTTATGTTACATGGCATAGTGTTTACGCACATACTTGCATTGCATTGCATTGCATGCATGCGTGCATACATGCATCAATGAACGAATGTCTGCATGTATGCGTGTATGCTTGTATGCTTGTATGCATGTATGTATGCATGATATTAATTCTATGTATATGTATATGTATATGTCTCATTGCATGTGCAGGTGTAGGTGTACGTGTATGTGTGTGTAATTAGACCCCTTGCTCGCGGAAACACACATATGTCAGATCATGTACATGCACGTCTGCGTGCGTAAATGCATGCACACATATGTACATGCATGCGAGCCATGACCTAGAACCAATGTAAAGCAAGCCAAGCTCCCATCCAGCATCCCTGTAGCCAGGTGTCTGCGCTGCTCTGGTTCATAGGTTTCACGCTCTACACATTGTGGCTGGTGATGAAGGCCTCGGGCTCAGATTCGCACGATGATGTTGGTCTGCAGCATTGAGGCCCTACGTGAGTCAAAGAATGTCTTTAGGATTTGGTTGACGGCGCAAGTTTTTGTGGCCGTATTCACGCTTGCTGCTGCACTATGTGCTTGGAGTTTGAGGGTTTACGGTCCAAGGTTGAAACACATATGCATGGGCACGTGATACTTGTATAGGTATTTGCATTTTCAGTTGTCGCATATGTCATCGGAGGAGAGTTGTCACATTCTCTCAACTCTTTGTTCCTTATAGCCCCAAAATAGTTGGAGTGTATTATTCCCTAAACACTCAATCCAGTTGTTAAAATCTATCTGAAACTCAAGCCAAACCATATCGGGCAAGCCCGATAGGGAATGTAGGAATAGTCTCGCAGTATAGTCCCGACGTATCTATAAACCCTAAAACCCAAAACCCCCAAACCCCTAAACCCCTAAGCCCCTAAACCCCGAAACCCCTAAGGCCCTAAACCCCGAAACCCCGAAACCCCTGAACCCCTAAGCCCCTAAACCCCGAAACCCCTAAGGCCCTAAACCCCGAAACCCCGAAACCCCTGAACCCCTAACCCCGAAACGCCGAAACCCTAAGCCCGAAGCTCCCATTCTTTTCTCTTGGAAGGCACGGCTCCCTCCAAGCTTCGACCTCGTGCCGGGCCTCATGCAGCCGGCTGCCCTTGTGGGCAACGCCTGCAGGCACCCACAGGGGGCCAAAAAGTCTGAACAATATAGGGGCCAATACTATTTTTTGGAGTTCCTTGTTATAATTATAGTATAACGGGCCCCCAAAACCCTATTCCGTTTTATATAGCCCTTAGTCTAAATCCTTTTCATGGCCCTTATAGTAGCCCTGATAGACCCCTCAAAAGGAACCCCTATTCCAATGATTACGGCCCCTATGTTAAGCTGACTTGGGTTGAAGGGCTTGACGGTTTGGGTTTCAAGGGTTAAGGATGTAAGGCTTTGACCCCCAATATGTCGAATGGTGGAAAACATACTTTTCCCCAATATGTTTGGTGTTTGCGATTTAGAGTTGAGGGTTTACTACTACTACTACTACTACTACTACTACTACTACTACTACTACTACTACTACTACTACTACTACTACTACTACTACTCCTGTAAGGGCTTAAATTTTTGTGTGGTTTATACTTTTTAAGCGGCTGAGACCGGGCTTTTGGGTTGCTCGCCCTTCGCGTTTCGTTCTTGTCGAGGCCCACAAGAGGCGAGGGATTTGGGGGTTGGAGCTGAGGAGCGATATTAGGGTTTAGAGTTTAGGGTTTTAGGGTTTTAGGGTTTTAGGGTTTTAGGGCTTTAGGGTTTTAGGGTTTTAGGGTTTTAGGGTTTTAGGGTTTTAGGGTTTTAGGGTTTTAGGGTTTTAGGGTTTTAGGGTTTAGGGCTTAGGGTTTAGGGTTTAGGGTTTAGGGAATTTAGGGAATTTAGGGTTTAGGGTTTTGGGGTTTGGGATTTAGGGTTTTTGTTTTAGCATTTCGGGCCAAGAATCCAAGCCGGTCACGAACTTCGGCCTTCTGGACGCCAGCAGCACATCACTCTAACTGGAAACCTCCAGCTCTGCCGCCTCAAGTTGAAGCTGACAAGCTCGCATGTCCCGCAGCTTTCTTATCGCTACTTGCCGTTGCTGTTACTTGCGCTTTTCACGTCGCGTCGAGCCATGGGTTCCTCGGTAGAAGATTTCGCTCTCACATCTTTTGAAGCTTTGGGCTCAGAACTGACACCTGTTTACCATTTTGGGGCCAGCTGGAGCGGCGAGTGTCTTTGTGCCACTGCTGGGCAGCACCATCGCCAAAGTCAGTCTCTCGACACTTCACCGGCAGCAGCAGCAGCAGCAACGGGCAGCAGCAGCTGCTGAAGTAGCAGCATCATCAGCAGCATTAGCATCGTCATCGGCAACATCATCGTCGTCACCACCACCACCACCACCACCACCACCGCCACCACCACCAGCATCATCATCATCATATCTTCCCGTCATCTCATCTAGGTCGTCATCTTCATCATCCTGCTTCACCGCCATCGTGTGCGTCATAACAGTCGTCAGTCATCAGGGTCAGCACCGCCATCAACATGACGAAGGCCATCGCTGCCGTCTTGAATTTCATCATCTTTATCTAGCACACTGTGCATCCTCATGCCATGCAGCATCACATCACGTCGCATCTTTCCGTTACATGTCATAAGATGTCTTGCCGCTGTCTCACCTGATGTCACGCCGTGTCATGACGGATGACACCAGATCTGGTTATCTTACCCACAACCTCAACTTCAGCCTCATCTTCATCGTCCTTGAGCGAGCTTGCCATTGTAATCAACATCGTCGCACCGTCGCCCACGCTGCTGCTACCGTAAGCGGGGCCGGAACCCTCTGAGCGAAGATTGCAAAGAGCTGCAGCATGCCCCTCACGTACCTGCATATTTCTACGTTCTTGTCAACTCAGCAGTACCACTCAGAGGTTGCATGCTGCGGCCTTAAAAATTACCTGTATATATATATATATATATATATATATATTTTCATTCATAGTATACTATACCCCAAAACCTTATTCCTGTTCTAATTATATTGAGTTCCTTGAGCCCAAACTTGCCAGGGCGATTGTCTGGGGTATGTTCCTGTTCCGGCACGTGATGGTCATCAGCGGCGTGGAGGCCGGCACCTAAACCTTCAACCTGAAGAAGCTCTCAGCCTGTTCGATCTTTTACGACATCACGGTGCTTTAGTCCTCGAGCCCTGAACCCAAACCCGCAACCCTAAACCCCTGAACCCTTGTTAAAAAAGCCTAAGATTCGAATCCCAAGCCCTGAATCCTGAACCATCGCGTTTGGAAGCTTGCCGGCACGCAGGATCTGGATGCTAACGCAGACGCCTTGCTAAATGCCACAGCGACGAACTCCACTGAGGAGACCTCTTTGGGGATTCCAAACCCTACGTCCTAAACCCTAAAGGGTTTCTGGCATCTGAGGTTCTCAGAAATCAATCAACCGAGCAATCGGTCAATCAATCAATCAATCAATCAATCAAATCATAATGTGTATTCCCTCATAGTCCGCAGGTAGTTGTGATCGATATCGAAGAAGTTGAAGAAGCCCTTTCTGACTTTCTAGGTCCTTCTATTGAGTACCAAACCCGGCAGTCGGGGCCCGGGACTGTTGATGATATAAATCCTGCATGACCCATAATAAGGAGTATACCATAATTCCCATAGCTCAGGGTCCTTAAGGTAATGCAGGATTTATATCATCAATGGGAGGACTTCGAGTGGGTCGATCAGTCTGCCACATACGGCTTCACGGCGTTCTCCTTGGTCCGGGGCTCATCGGAAAAGAGCTTGGGATTGCGGCCTCGGGTTGTGGGGGAAGGTTGTTGGGTTTAGGCTTAGGGCTTGGGTTTGAGATTTAAGGTTGAGGTTAGTTTTAGCAAGGGGTCATTTTTCGGAAGCGGTCTAGTGACCCCAAACCCCTAAACCCTCTATATAAGGTGAGAAGTTCAGCAGTGCACTACCCGTTGCGCGGCGGTCTCAAGCAGAACACGCCTCCAATGGGCGGCATTCTCCCTTTACTTGTCATTAAGAGCATGCAAAAAGGCCAGCTGTGGCTTAGTGACAGAAAGCTTGGCGCCTGTGTGTTCATTCGCTGCTCACCAGACGGGCTGGTCCCAGAGGAATGGGGTACAATTCTAACTGCTATTACTACCATTCTTCCATTCCCTACTAAGCAAAGGTAAGATGAGCGCGGCCACCTACAGTGCAAGCACGGGTGAGAATAAGGCTCGTCGCCTTGGGCGGTCGCGCCCGCGGAGCATACGGTGGGTTAAATATAAGGGGAAGTGACTGCCCAACGCTGCACCCTGATCGTACGGGTGTGGCATGCGCTTGCTTCTGTACCTTCGGGGATGGGTGGGCGGCCTATGCTGGGGATCCAGACACACGGGCACGCACGCCCGCACGCATGCATGCACGCACGCATGCACTCACTCGCTCACGCACTCACCCCTATCGCACTACCGTCTTGACCACAAACCCAACCCAGACGCCCAAAAAAGAAGCAACCTTGGAACCAGACCATCTATCAAAGTGTGTAGGGCTCAAGATTGAGAGTTTGGAGTCCAGACTTTGGTCTTAAGCTTCCTAGAGTCGTAGAGCTCTAAACTCTAAACTTCGACCCAAAACTCTTTAGTACCCCAACCTAAACCCTAGGTAGGCCTTTGGGACATTCATATTTTCCCTTATTGGGCTCAATAGGACCCTATTTACGAATATTTTTCAGAGGCTTTAAAGGGCCAACCTGGAACCTTGAACCCCAAACCTCAGCACTAAACCCTAAACCCTAGACCCTAAGCCCGACTTAGGTGCCCAGGGGACTTGGTAAGTCGGTATTAGGGGTACCTAAGGGTTCCTTTAAAGGGTAACTGTAAGGGTACTGTAAGGGTTCCTTTAAAGGGCTCTATAAGTTTAGAGTTTCCGAAAATTAGGGGTGCCTTTTTTGAGGGTCCTTATAATGAGGATCCTACTATTTAAGGTGCTATATTATGATCCCCTATTTTCGGAAACTCCTATACATCCGGGGCAACTCCATCTAGGGTACTCATAACTCTACTTATAACCTACTCATTTAGTCCCCTGGGCCTCCAAGTAAGCCCTCAGCCCCAAGCCGCCTTATATAGAACCCCTTGTAGATCCGGTTTAAAGAGCCCTTTAAGGAACCCTAAGCCCTAAACCTTAGAAGCTGCCCCCACCCTGTAATAGTGGTACAATCGGAAAATAATAGGGACCGATTATAATCCTTATAGTCACTATTACAGGGTGGGGGCAGCTTCTAGCCCCAAGTACCCTAAAAGGGACCCTAATTGGGGTTATGGTAACTACTTACTAAGTCCCCCGACCCTCCAAGTAAGCCCTAAACCCTAAATTCAGGTTTGCTTCCTGGATGCCTGGCTCCTTTCCCGGGGTTGCCCTGGAAGCTTCCAGGACCTGCTTCGGGTTTTGGGTTTTAGGGTTTAGGGGTTTAGGGTTTTAGGGTTTTAGGGTTTTAGGGTTTAGGGCTTAGGGTTTAGGGGTTTATATAGGGGTTTAAGGGTTTAAGGTTTATGGGTTTCAGGGTTTATGGGCTTAGGGTTTAGGGTTTAGGGGTTTAGGGGTTTAGGATTTATTGGTTTAGGGGTGTATGGGTTTAGGGGTTTAGGGTTTAGGGTTTATGGGTTTAGGGCTTAGGGCTTAGGGGTTTAGGGGTTTATGGGTATAGGGTCTATGGTTTAGGGCTTTAGGGTTCAGGGTTTAGGGTTTAGGGGTCTAGGGTTTAGGGGTTCAGGGGTTTAGGGTTTAGGGGTTTAGGGGTTCAGGGCTTTCGGGCCTAGGGATTACGGAGTCGGCTTTTGGTGTTCAGGCTTTGAGGTTTATGGTTTAGGTGTTCAGAGTTTTGATGTCGGATGTACATTATGATACCAGGATGCTGATAAAACACAAGAGACCAGGAGGGGAGACCTTCACTAACTCTGGTTTAGCCTTTGGGGTTTAGGGCAAAACGGTGTTAGGGCTCAGGGTTTAAATTTAAGTTCAGGGTTCTGGGTTTGAAGGGTTTGCGTTTTAGGGTACAGGGTTTAGGGGGCTTACGATTCAGGGATCAGGGTTTAAACGGTTTACGTTCAGGGTTCACGTTTAGGGACCACAGTTTAAAGGGTTTGCGGGTCAGGGGCTTGGGTCTAGGCTTTGAATGGGTTTGGGTTTAAGGGGGTAGAGGGTGGTTTGGGGTAGAGATTCAGCATTTGGGCTGTTGGGGCTTGCGGTTTACAGGATTTAGTGTTTGAAGGGGTTGCGAGTTTAAAGGTTCAGCATTCGGGCTTTTGGGTGGCTTAAGGCACAGGTTCTACAAGGGTCGCATACGGCGTTTTGGGGTGTAGGGGTTTAAAGGGCTTGAGGCTTCTATTCGGTTCATGGGTAGTTATAAGTAGGGTTATAAGTAGGACAACTATACCTATAACCCATATTAAGGGACTTATAACCCCACTTATATCTGCCTATGAACCTCGAAGTATTCGGTTTATGGCTTTAGCGTTTTTAAAGTTTGGGCCTTGGGCTTCTGCTTGCTCCAGCTTGGGGCTCGAAGAGGGTCTGTGGGCTTCTAATATCATATAATGTCATGTAACTTAATATTATGTCATATCATAGAATATCACATAATATACTGGGATATGCTGTTATGTACCATAATATGCAATGACATGATTCTTCCCTTGATTTTATCGGGCGGAGTGTCTTGGGTGATGGAGGCATGTTTCGTTGAGATGTTTAGCACGGTTAGGGGCTGTGAGGATGAGAGTTGATCGGGGCATCATTACCCTGAGCCCTAAACCTTTAAGGAGCCAAAAGGATCTAGAGCTGCTTTTCAGGGAGATCGGCAAGAGCCCCCGGACACCCTGTACCCAACCATCAGCCCTACCAATCCTGTCTTTTGCTCCTTTTCTTCCCTGGGGCTTAGAGCCCTAAACCGAAGACCCTCAACCTAAAACAAGGGCAAACTCTGAACTCAACCTTTATCTCTTTTTCTTCCGATTCTATCTGCAGGAGAGCTTGCTTTCCGCAGAGAGCCTCGGTGGCTGGGCCTGGGCCAGGGCCTTTCTGTAGAACTTGAGATTTGGCAGGACTTGTGCCGGTGAAGCGGTGTACGGTTTAGGGTGGAGTACAGTGAGGAGAAACAGACCCTAAACCCTAAACCCCTATATTATATAGTACCCTTATAGATCCCTTATAAATATATATATATATATATATAGACATATATATATATACATATATATATATACACCACTTTAAAGGAACCCTATTCTACTAACCCTAATCACTCTCCCGAAGATCCTCAACCCACAAGGTTTCCCTGGCCTTGGCGTCCGTCTTCATGTCGATTTCAGCTGCTGCGACGACGCAGGCGGCTTGCAGACACGGCCCGATCGATAGAGATTCCTTTCCAGGAAGCCCATGCTCTGAACCCTAAACCCCTAAAAACCTTAACTCGCAACCCCTAATCCACCAAACCCCAAACCCTCCTTGCCACTGGAGGGCTTCTTTTCGTTTTGTAGATTACATCTTGTATCGGCTCTCAAAAGTTCCCCAGAGCCTACAGGATTGTTTTGAATGGGTCGCTGGTTGACCCCTTTCTTCCAGGCAATAAGGGTCGGCTCGTTTGCTAGAATGCTGAGTAGATGACTGTGCGAAGACACACACCTTTGTCATTATTGTTGCTTGCGAGAATGTCGTGACCTACTTTTCCTTGCCGTTTTGGTCATTGACAACAACTGTTGTTGCAGTAGTAGTAGTAGTAGTAGTAGTAGTAGTAGTAGTAGTAGTAGTAGTAGTAGTAGTAGTAGTAGTAGTAGTAGATCTGCTTCGATAGGACGTCTTCGGACTGTGACTGCTATGCTTCTACTTCTCTGTAGGGCACTTTGAGTCTTACTTGGAGGTTCATGGGTAGTTATAAGTAGGGTTATAAGTCCCGTAACATGAGTTATAAGTATAGTTACCCTACTTATAACCTTACTTACAACTACACATGAACCTCCAAGTATCTGGGGCGAAGATGCGGAGTTTCGCATCCTGAGTTGAACCATTTCTTACCTTTGCTTAGTAGGGAATGGAAGAATGGTAGTAATAGTAGTTAGAATTGTATCCCATTCCTCCATTCCCTACTAACCAAAGGTAAGATTTCCGCCCATTCCAGACCTGGTCCGATGTGGCCGTGCTGGAAATCCTGGCCGCTGTGCTGCTGTCCGGGCCTAATAGCAGAGGAGCAGCATGAGTACTAGTACTCGTACTGGTACTAGTACTAGTGCTAGTGCCAGTACTGCTACTACTACTACTACTACTACTGCTACTACTACTACTACTACTGCTACTACTGCTACCACTGCTACTGCTACTACTACTACTACTACTACTACTACTACTACCACTACTACTACTACTACTACTACTACTACTACTACTACTACTACTACTACTACTACTACTACTACTCCTACTCCTACTCCTACTCCTACTCCTACTCCTACTCCTACTCCTACTCCTACTTCTACTCCTACTCCTACTCCTACTCCTACTCCTACTCCCCCTCCTACTCCTACTACTACTACTACTACTACTACTACTACTACTACTACTACTACTACTACTACTAGCAGTGGAAGTCGCAGTAGCAGCAGCACCAGCGCTTCGTAGTTGTTACAAGCAAGCTTGATTGGCCTGGCCGTGTCTCAGATTAGCCTTCGTCGGCCCAGTGTGGAAGAGCAGTGATCTTTGATCTGTCCATGAGCCCTAAACCCTTAAACCCTAAACCCCTAAACCCTCAACCCCTAAACCCCTAAGCCCCTACACCCCTAAGCCCCCTAAACCCTAAACGCCTAAACCCCTAAACCCTAAACCCCTAAACCCATATACCCCTAAACCCCTAAACCCCTAAGCCCCCTAAGCCCCCTAAGCCCCTGAACCACTAAACCCCTAAACCCGTAAACCCTAAACTCTAAACCACTAAGCCCAAAACCACTAGACCCTAAACCCCGCGCAGGTTTCTGGGCTCAGCCCTCCTCCTCTTGTGGTTGCTGCTGCATCCCAAGCAGTTGAGGCGGGTCATCGGCAGCCAGTGTGGCTTTGGGAGTCTTCTTATCCAAGGGCTCAGGGCTTTGGGTTTAGGGTTTGGGGTTTAGGGTTTAGGGTTCGCAGGTACAGGGAGCTGAGCGTAGGATGATGTAATAAGTTTAGCTTCCGTTTCTCTCTGAAACTCCTCAAGAGACATGAAGCGGCAGCACCTTTCTCAGTTTAAGCCGACAAGCATGGGCCCGAGACTTTACAGGGATGTTGCAGAAGCCAGCATCTACAGCAGCTTCTTCCAGAAGCAACCCTCGATCAGTCTGGGTAGCATCAGCAGGGAGCGAAGGGTTCGAATCGCCGGCGACGAGACTGAAGCCTAAAGCATTGTACCTCACCCCTCAGGCCCTCCAGCCTGAACTCAACACAACCCTAAACCCTAAACCCTAAACCCTAAACCCTAAACCCTAAACCCTAAACCCCAAACCCCAAACCCTAAACCCCTCAACCCTACAGCTCCCGAGCCCGAAAAGCCTGAACCCTCAAAGACTAAGCGCTAAAGTCGCCAAGCCTTAAACCGGCTACTCCACACCCTCAGGCCTGTATCTTTACACCTTGAAACTGTAGAATTCCCAAGCCCGAAAGCTTCAAAACGCTAGCCAGAGCAGTAGCAGTCGCAGTCGTCGAGACGGTACTGCTAGCAGTACGGGAAGCTGGTATGGTTTTTCATAGGGCTCCAGTATCCTAAAATAGTAGGTCGTTAGCCATTTATAAATTTCCCCAGGAACCTACTCTTTAGTTAAATGCGTCCCCGGGGTTCAGCATGTTCGGCATCTGCAGGAAGCGCCTGGAGATGTTGGCTGCAGGACTGGGCAACCCAGAGACTCCAAAACCCCTTAATTAAGGAATATACCTCAAATTATAGTAGGGATCCTATTATAATTTAAGGTATATTCCTTAATTAAGGGGTTTTGGAGTCTCTGGGAATGCAAGCAGTGGGAGTCATGCTCGAACTGAGTCTCTTGAACTGCTCGACGGGATCTCTCACCGGAGCCAATTGTACAGCCGAACCTTCATTTCTAAATTCCAACACCTAGCCCTGAACCCTAAACCCTAAACCCTAAACCTAGCTCCTAAAGACCCTGACCTACCCCGATACGTTAGCGGAGGCCCCCGTTCCACAGCTTTTCGGCGCCAGGACCTCCAGCTCCTGTCGAGCTTGGCAAGGGCAAGGAGCGAGTTAATTCTTCGGATGGTCTAAAACTCTAAACCCTAAACCCCTTAAACTCCTAAACCCTCGACCCTAAAACTCTGAACCTGCAAACCCTAAGACACCGAAATAAAGTGGGGGCTTCGAGTTGAGGTTTGAGATTTTTCGAGTTTCGGGTTCAGGGCTGTTTGGGTTTCGGGTTTAGGGGTCAAGGGTTTCGGGGTTTAGAGTTCAGTTTGGGTTTAGGGGTTTTTAGTTTAGAGTTTTCAAGTTAGGGCTTTGACTGCCTTTTTGTCGGGGTTTCGGGCATCCAGTCTGCATTCTGGGGCTTGTGATGCCGGCTTTGGCTCTGTGTCTCTCTCTGTCTTTCGGTTTTTGGAGATAGTCGGGTGCTGCACTACCCTTAGGGGTACTTAGAAATGATTTTTATTTTTTGGTTACTATAATCCCTAAGAAACAGCTAAAAGTCTAATTTTTGCTAGGGTTCTAAGTTCAGTATAGTATCTCTACTTCCGTTCGGCCGCATCAGGACCGCTTAGAAGGCGCCGTGGAGGCTGGAAGTGGGGTGTGAATTGAGGTGATGGGGTTCGAGGTTCCGGGCGTAATGTAGGGGCCTTACTAATCAGAGTAGGGTTTTGGGGGTTCCTTAGTAGAATATACCCCCAAACCCTAGTCTAATTGTTAAGGCCCCTACATTAGGCTTGAGGCTTCATGTTCGGGATCCAGATTTGGGGTTAGCTCTTAGGCCTAGTGAAGGTTTCAGAGACCGAGTGAAGGACGACTTTGGCTCGGGCTCAGGTCGAGATGTAGTCGAAGATGGCAGCCGAAACAGTAAATGGGAGTTTCCGAAAATAGGGGACCCTAGTATAGCACTCCAAATAGTAGGATCCTGATAATTAGCACCCCCCAAAATAAGGTGCCCGCCCAATTGTCGGAAACTCTTAAGCCTTATAGAGCCCCTTAAAGGAACCCTTATGGTACCCTTATAGTAACCCTTTGAAGGAACCCCAAGGTACCCCTAGTTTTCAGTACAACCTTAACCCACGCCCTAAATCCTAAACCCTGGACCTGAGCCGGAAGCCGCAAACCCAAGCAGAAGGGGTAACATGCCAATCTTACGTAAAGTTAAGGTGGACGGATGGATGGCTGGCTGGCTGGATGGATGGATGGATTCCATATATAGACATAGATAGATAAATACATAGATCGAGAAGGAAAAGAAGGGATAGCCTGGTGCCACAACTCTTTCCACGTTTTTCGCCCTACAGGGCGTTGCAGTGGAAGCATGAACCCTAAACTTCGAGCCCTACATGTTCTTGCAGGTCCCAGCACGGGAACATGAAGCTGCAAAGCCACTTTCCGGCCCGCCACTCACTACACAGGCAGGTGTGGGCGGCGCATGATCTGCTTCAGCAAGAGTGCCAGTCGCAAGAAATATCGGGACTGCTGCGCTTCGAAGTGCGATGAGATCCGTTGGTTGCCGTGATCAGCAGTAGTAGTAGTAGTAGTAGTAGTAGTAGTAGTAGTAGTAGTAGTAGTAGCAGTAGCAGTAGTAGTAGCAGTAGCAGTAGCAGTAGCAGTAGCAGTAGCAGTAGCAGTAGCTGTAACGGTAGCAGCAATAGTAGTAGAAGAAGTAGTAGCTGAATCAGGTGGTGAGCTTCATCTTTCGGTTCGCGCAGAGCTTTTGTACGGACTAGCGGCGATCCGCGTTCGGCCTTGCGGCAGTAAATCGATTAGCTGCACTGTGCAACGCGTTTAACATCGCAGCTCCTTAGGCCCTAAACCCAAAACCCGAAACCCAAAACCCTAAACCCTAAAACCCCAAACCCTTCGCCCCAAACCCAATTGCATTGTGCATCAGAAAGCTTCTTGTGCCTGGCGAGGTGGCAGAGCCGCCAGCAAAGCCCTTGCCTTCCCCAGCCGCAGCTGCAGAGCAGGCAGGGCGACTAACCTTGGTGCGTGATCCCGAATTTCTGTAGTGACTACCCATACGCCCCATAGGAGTTCCTTTTTGGGGTTTCCTTTTCGAATTCTAAATATGAACCCCAAACAGGAACTACTATGAAACCTATGGGTACACTGTAGTGGAGGACCGGGGGCGGGAAGGCGCTACATCAAGGTCCTAGGAGCCAGGCGAGACCTTTGCATGATCACTACTTGGAGGGCCGGGGGACTTAGTAAGTAAGTAGGTAGAAAGTAGACTTATAAGTGCCCCAAAAGGGACCCTAATTGGGGTTATGGTACTTGTAAGTCCTTAAAACAACTACTTACTAAGTCTCCCGACCCTCCAAGTACTGATACCCCATGTTTGGAGACTTCCAGTTGAGAGCCTGCAGTTTGTGTGCCGGTGGCAGAGCCGGCAAGTGTATCGCCTCCGCCCCCGAACGTGGTAGAGCAGCCGCCGAACATCCCAAAGATTTTCGCACTTAGAGGAGCTGCTCGGGGCTGTTTTGTTCACCCTCCTGAGTATTCAGGACCGCGAGGTCAAACAAAAGCCCGAAACGTTTGATTTTAAACTCTCAGCTCTAAACTCTCAAGCCCTCGACTCCTTCAGCCCTGAACGCCTGAAAGCCTGAAGCACCAAACCTTGAAGCCCTAAGCCCCACAGAACCGTACTACAGAACCCTGGTCACTGATAATGGTCTTGGGCTCCTTTATGGAGCCCTGGCGGAGCGCTGAACGCTTTTCCAGAAACTCTTCTAGATCCCTTCGAGGATCCCTTAAAGGATCCCCAACAGAAACCTTAGAGATCCCTTAAAGGATCCCTTACAGGAGCCTTAAACCCCCTTAAAGGATCCCTTGAAGGAGCCCTAAACCCCCTTAGAGGATCCCTTAAAGCAGCCTTAAACGCCCTTAAAGAGCCCGGTAAAAGAGCCCTAAACCCCCTTATGAAGGACCCCTTCAAGGGCGCCACGCCCTGCGAAAGCCCCCAAGCCAGGCGCCGGCCCGCGAAGCTCAGAAGGACCCAGGCCCAGCAGAGGAGCGGCTTCGTAGCGGGTTTAGGGGGTTTAGGGGGGTTTAGGGGGTTTAGGGGGGTTTAGGGGGGTTTGGGGCGTTTAGGGGGGTTTAGGGGGTTTAGGGAGGTTTGGGGGGGTTAGGGTTTGGGGTTTAGGGGGCCATGCGATGCCATGCAATGCTATGACTTGCCATGCAATGCAATGTACAAATGCATGCATATGTCTGCTGTTTGTCCGTCTGTTTGTATGCAGCGAGGAAGGTGTGTAGGCAGGCAGGCAGGCAGCCAGGCAAGGGAGGTATAGGTAGATGGGTAGGTAGGTTGGTCGGGTATTCAACGGCCCCATCCAATACTAAATGATGATTTAGAGGGACCCCTCTAAGGGGGGATAGCAGATGAAGTTTGCAGCGAAGCGTTTTTGAAGCTAGTTGGGTTGGAGTCAATAACTGAAAGTTATTTGCCTCGCCGCCAATTGATATAGTACGCTGATTGGCGCTCACTAGCGCCCACCAATCCCTACTAGTGCTCGCCAGCGCTGAAGCTTTGGAGAGCGCAGCCAAGCTGTTGTAGTCCTCACGAGCCGGTATGCCCTGTAGTCCTTATTAGGCCGGAGCGGGGCTTACACCAAACTATCCAGGCGTGCTAGGCCGCCAGGCTCTACTAAGCCTTGCCAGCGGTTGCCAAGGCTTGTCAGGCCTTGCTATCCAACCACCACTCTGCTCTGAATCATAATACAACCAAAAATTAGTTAACATGATTTTATCATCGAGGGGTTGAATCTCTATTGTCTATTGCCCCTGCTCTTTCTCCTGCTCTTGCTGCTGCCCCTGCTCTCGCTTCTGGTCTTGCATTCTCCTGCTCAGGCTCTTGCTCACGGATTAGGGTTTAGGGTTTAGGCCCCCCTGATTCAAAACCGGTTTTAGCGGCGGGGATGTTTCCAGGAAGATTTCCCGGAAGGTAGGTAGGTAGGCAGGCGCATATTGTTCTGTAGATGAATATAACAGTATGTATCAATGTGTTTGAGGCCAAGAATTAAAAACTCAGAGTTGTTTTCATGTGCACATCTATGGTTATATGAGGAGGCTAGGTTCATGTTGTTGGCGCCGATACTGCTGGAACTCTTGCGCCGAGTGCGATGATGCTCAGCAGCGCTACACAGCCGTCAACAATTGGCATAGGGTGTGGGGGTGTTTTCTAAGATTCTTATCTAAGGGCTACAACTACAAAGAAATGCTTGCAAGAGATGCACAGCCTTGAATCATTTATGGGAGTTTCCGAAAATTAGGGGTACCTTATTTTGGGGGTCCTTATACCTACTATTTAGGGTGCTATGTTATGATCCCTTATTTTCGGAAACTCCTATACCCATTCGGATTGAGCGAGGAGTCGCCGCCTGCGAACGAGGCACCAGCCAAAGCAATATCCGGCTCCAGTCTGGAGGCACCTCGGTTTGTGGAATTTGGGGCTTCAGGGTTTGAGAATGATGATACTACTACTACTACTACTACCACTACTACTACCACCACTACTACTACTACTACTACTACTACTACTACTACTACTACTACTACTACTACTACTACTACTACTACTACTACTACTACTACTGAGACTACTACTACTACTACTACGACGACGACTACTACTACTACTACTACCACTACTACTATACCATTAGTAGTAATGCTACTAATCATAATAAGAATAATGGGGTTTAGGGTTTGGGGTTCCCCAAAGTCCGACAGTACCGCAGCGCTTGAGGCCCTCCCAGCAGCCACTGCAGAGCCGGCGCCTGCGTCTGCGCCATCTCCATCCTTACCAGCCGAGGTCGGGTGCGGTTCCGAGTTTAGGGTTCAAAGCTTAGAGTTTATGGTTCAGTGTTCGGGGTTAAGGAACTTTGTTCACATTGCCTTCAGACTTCTGTCGCGGGCTGCAGGGCTTTCTGCATGCATGTTCGCAGGCAAAGCGTCAACTCGCAGACACACTTTCAGCCTTCAGCACTTGCGGATGCAAGGCACATGTGGGTGGTTGTCAAAATTATGGTCCCTTTTGGGGTACCCTAAATATTGGGTGCCGTATTATATTAAGGACCCAAAAAAGGACCTTAGTTTTGACAACCACCCATGTGAACTTGTGTTTATGTTGCGGCGGTGGTATTGTCGCTGTCAGCAATGCTCATGAGTGAGTCCTCATGTTCCACATAGCCTTGCGAAACTGCGACGAACAAATTGCTGTAGACTCTTTCAAAACGGCGCAGACCGCAAACTGTACACTGTTTTGCTGTGTCCACTGCCTGCGGACAAGCCGTTCCTGGTGCATGTCACCCTCAGTTCTGACGCACCGATTCGGAATGTCAGGGCTCCATGTGCAGAGCGCAGGGCTTTGGGCGTTCGAGCTCGAAGATATGGGCCTTAGTAACCTCAGTAATTACCTATACTATTTTGGTGGTTAATTACTTTTCATAATCATAGTAGAATAGGCCCCAACACCCTATTCTAATCATTAAGGCCCTCGTACTAAACCCTTATATGTGCCAGCATCCGCGCACCCCCCCCCCCCTCCCCCCCCCATGGTAATCCCCCTCCCCCCCCCTGTGGTTCCTGTGGTTCCCCCCCCCCCCTGTGGTTCCTCTTGGTTTTCCCCCTCCCTTTTGTGGTTCTTCTGGTTCCTGTCTCCCCCCTCCCCCCCTGTGGTTCCTGTGGTTCCTCCGCGTGGTTGCTGCTGCTTTGTTGTTGCTGCTGTTCTTCTTCTTGTTCTTGTTCTTGTTCTTGTTGTGTGGTCGCCCGGGTCGGGGGGGGGGATACCATTGGGGGGGGGGGGGGGGGGTCGAGAACGCGGAGCGCGGGCACATATAATGGCCCTTATAGTAGCCCTTATAGATCCTTTTAAAGGAACCCTATTCGAACTCTTAAGGCCCTTATATTCGGATTTAGAGTAAGGTGCTTCTTCATGACATCGCCAGCGGCAGGCTCGGACACCGAAGACTCCAAAAGACGGCCAGCGAAAGCGGGTCGTGTCGTCGCTTCTGAAGCTGGCCTGCATTTCGACCCCCCTCAAAAGCAAGCGAAACATAAACCTGATCCCCGGCACTAGTAGTACTCGCAGTAATAGTAGTAGTAGTAGTAGTAGTAGTAGTAGTAGTAGTACTAGTAGCAGTAGTGTAGTAGTAGGAGCAGTAGTAGTAGTAGTAGTAGTAGTAGTAGTAGTAGTAGTAGTAGTAGTAGTAGTAGTAGTAGTAGTAGTAGTAGTAGTAGTAGTAGTAGTAGTAGTAGTAGTAGTAGTAGTAGTAGTAGTAGTAGTAGTAGTAGTAGTAGTAGTAGTAGTAGTAGTAGTAGTAGTAGTAGTAGTAGTAGTAGTAGTAGTAGTAGTAGTAGTAGTAGTAGTAGTAGTAGTAGTAGTCTCAGTAGTCTCAGTAGTCTCAGTAGTAGTTGTAGTAGTAGTTGTAGTAGTAGTAGTTGTAGTAGTAGTAGTAGTAGTAGTAGTAGTCGCCGTGGTGGTGGTGGTAGTAGTAGTCACAGTCGCTCTGGTGGTGTTGGTAGTAGCAGTAGTAGTAGTCGTCGTCGTACTACTACTACTACTACTACTACTACTACTACTACTACTACTACTACTACTACTACTACTACTACTACTACTACTACTACTACTACTCCTACTACTACTACTACTACTACTACTACTACTACTACTACTACTACTACTACTACTACTACTACTACTACTACTACTACTACTACTACGCTACTCTACTACTACTACTACTACTACTACTACTACTACTACTACTACTACTACTACTACTACTCTACTCTACTCTACTACTACTACTCCTACTACTCCTACTGCTACTACTCCTACTCCTACTCCTACTACTACTCCTCCTACTCCTACTCCTACTCCTACTCCTACTCCTACTCCTACTCCTACTCTACTCCTACTCCTACTCCTACTCCTACTCCTACTCCTACTCCTACTCCTGCTGCTGCTGCTGCTGCTGCTGCTGCTTGCTACTTGCTACTTGCTACTTGCTACTTGCTACTTGCTTCCTGTTACTTGCTACTTGCTACGGCAACGGCTACGGCTACGGCTACTTGCTACTTGCTGCTGCTACGGCTACTGCTACTGCTACTGCTACTGCTACTGCTACTGCTACTGATGCTGCTACTGCTACTGCTACCCCTACCCCGACTCCTACTCCTCCTTTTGCTCTTACTCCTACTCCTACTCCTCCTGCTGCTGCTGCCACCAGCACCACCAGCACGATCAACCACCATCACCACCATCACCCCACCACCACCAGTCCCACCACCATCACAGCGGCTGCTACCGCGACATCCGTAGAGACGACGACGGTTAGCCACCAAGCCGGCTAAAACCCCAAGCTTTGAAACCCCTAAACCCTAAACCCCTAAACCCTAGACCCCTAAACCCCTAAACCCCTAAACCCCTAACCCCTAAGCCCTGAACCCCGAAAACCTAACCCTAAACCCTATCGAAGACCCGAAGCGCTCAGGAAAGCCGCAAAGGATGGAAGCTTGAACACCAGCCTCAAGGAGCGAAGATCGAAGCCTCTTTAAAGGTCCCTTTAAAGGGATCTATAGAGTTTCTATAAGCGGTCCCCAGAGAGCCCAATACCCCTTGCAGGGTTTCGGGTTTTAGGTGCAGTTTGGAGGTTTCCGCGCAGCTTTGAGCAGGTGGGATTTAGGGTTCAGAATTTGGGCTGAGGTTGAGGGATGAGGAGTCGTCTAGTTCAGCAACGGGTGCTCGCAGAATCCCTCCTTTGTAGGAAACCCTGAAGCCTTTCTCCCTTAGTTGAATGAGCACATGTTGGGGTTTCGGAAAATAGGGGACCTTAATCTAGCACCCTAAATAGTAGGATCCTTAGTATAAGGACCCCCCAAATAAGGTATTTTCGGAAACGCCCATGTAGTGACTGGTGGCTGGTGTTTGATGTCATCAAGAGCCGGATGAAAGTGACAGTTTTGCATCCTCCCAGGGCCCAGATCCAGATGGTAACATTGCTTTTGTCCCCCCGGGCGTGTCCTTTTACCTGATGACAAACTCATCCCTAAACCTTATAAACCCCAAGCCCTAAATCCCAAACCCTGAACCTCAAACCCTAAATCTCATAAACCCTGAACCTTAAACCCTAAATCTCATAAAACCCTAAGCCGTAAATCCTAAATCCTGAACCTTAAACCCGAAATCTCATAAAACCCTCAGCCCTAAGTCCCAAACCCTGAGCCTTAAACCCTAAATCTCTTAAAACCCTAAGCCCTAAATCCTAAACCCTGAACCTTAAACCCGAAATCTCTTAAACCCTAAGCCCTAAATCCTAAACCCTGAACCTTAAACCCTAAATCTTATAAAACCCTAAGCCCCAAATCCTAAACCCTGAAACAGGACCCACTTCAGGAGAAGCTGGGATCTCCCCTCCAAGCAAAGACTCCCAAGTTCCCAGCCCTCGGCCTCATAGCCGAAACCGTAAGCCCTAAACCCTCGACGGGGAGTGCAGACTGAAAAAGGGCCCTTAAAAGAAAACTCCCTAAGCTCTAAACCCGAAACCCTAAACCCTAAACTCTAAACCTTAAACCCTAAACCCTAAACTCTAACCGTACCAGGAGTTCGAAGCCAAGGAGTTTGGGGTGAGTGACTCAGAGGCAGTGCATGGCGAACTCGAGTCCGGGTTTGAACAAAGAGAGTGCGACTTGGGGCTTACTTAGAGGTCCAGGGGACTTAGTAAGATTTCTTACAGGGCTCCGTATAGGGATCTATAGGGTTCCTTGAAGGGATCTATGGGGTTGAGCGTTTAGGGTCTAGTTAGAGGCCCAGGGGACTTAGCAAGTAGGGTATAAGTAGAGTTATAACTACCCTAAATGGAGTTACCCCCAACTATAGCCCTACTTATGACCGACTTCAGGCTGACTTCAGGTTCAAGGTTACCAGGTAGTACCTTTTCCTTTTTTTTTTTTCTTCTGTTTGGGCTCCCTTGTAATTAACGAAAGACATACGCAAAACGGTACCCTCATTATTAAGGGGCTGCTGGGGAACAGGTTTTCGCGGGGGGTTTGCGAACAGAGAGAGCCCCCAGGTCTAGGCTGTATCACAATAACTAGCTTAGCATGGAGAGACTAGGTGACACTTTGGGAATCTGTTTTTTCCGTTCATGGTGCCTTTCGAGGTACCTGAATGCATAAATGCTTAAGTATTTCTACGGGAACCACAACTACAACCCAGACGAGCCCCTAAACCCTAAACCGGGTGCTGAAGAAGACGGGCTGAGAATCTCTGACTTCCGCTTTGCTCGCAACCCTCCGCCCTACACCGACGGTCTGAGAGGTAGGCGGAAGCACCTGACTGGGTTTAAAGTTTAGGGGTTTGGGGGTTCCTTTCAAGGGTTCCTTAAAAGGGATCTAAAGGGGTTTCATAAACCCTGAAACCGAAGCCTGCGAAGTCCTGTCTTGTCCTGAAGCTTGAACCTGAATCCTACAGTTTTAAGCCCCGCGATTCGCCCTGAAACCTGAAGAAAGCACAAGCACCCTAAACACCCTACATCCCGAATGCCGCTGAAGTCAGCCTTCCCAGCTCGGGCAGGCATCGCCTACGTCTGCACCTGCGAGAGCGGCAGTCGCGGAGGTGGCGACGGCAAGGGGCTCGGTTTGTGCCTAACATACCACTAAGCTGCAAGGGGTAAGTGTTTAGGGTTCAGGGAGCACTTCGCTGCCAGGGGTGAGGTTTCGGGGTTTAGGGTTTTCTGTATATCCCAAACCCGAGACGCTCAGCCCTAACCCTAATCCCCACACCCAGCCCGAAACCCTCAAATCCCCGAAACGGTATTTGAGCTATTGGTAATTCTGCTCCCTACTAGTAGTTATTGCAGACCTAACCCACCAGAACCTACTTTTGGGTGGGGTCTTTTGGAGTTTATAAGAAGAAACTACAAAAAACTTATATAATATAAGAAGAAAACTACAAAACAACTTATATAAGGTACCCTTACAGTAGCTTTTTGGAGCCCCAGGCGCCACCAGGCGAGCCATCGGCTAACGAAGCCCCCAGGGCTCCGGGCTCAGAGGTCAGGGTTCAAGGTGTGGTAGGGAGTTTCCGAAAATAGGGGATCCTAATATAGGACCCTAAATAGTAGGACTCTTATTATAAGGACCCCAAAGTAAGGTACCCCTAATTTTCGGGGTTTAGGATTAGGGTTGAGGGATGAGGGTCTTGGGTTATGGGTTTAAGGTTTAGGATTTACGGGAGAAGGGGTGTGGGTTCGGGGATTTGGGTTTAGGGTTTGGGGTTAAAGGACGGTACGTCCTTTACTTCCCCCAGCCCTTAACGGCAATTTCCACAGAGAGCCTCCAAGTCCCAAACCTCGAACCCGGAATGCAACATTGCCTCTGAGACGAGGTATTTACCTGAAAGACCTGAAAAAGAGGTGGGCACACTCAGTAACAGAGTTACCTTACAGTCCCTGTGTAAATATCGTATAATATTCCTCAAACCCAATCCTGATTCTTGAGTTCCCGGTATCACCTGTGTGCGAGTTTGGTGCTGTTGAAGCTCGTGTTCTCGTGCGGGGGTTCCCCGGTATGACTTTCAGAGTAGTTTTTGCGTGTCGCGGCTGTTCCACATCAACCTTGCGGGTCACTTGGAGGTTCATGGGTAGTTATAAGTGGGGTTATAAGTATGGTAACTATACTCATAACTCATATTATAACCCTACTTATAACTACCCATGAACCTCGAGCCTCCAAGCGGTCTCTCTTTCTACGCCGGGAAAGGAGTTGCAGGTTGGGTTAGCTTTCAGGGTACTTTACTGCTCATTGACCAAAGCGGACACTCCTATCGAATGGGCTCTCATCCTTGCTCAGCAAGTTCCGGAGATGTCTTACTGGAAGCTGTATGTACATTGCGGAGACGGACTCCTTTTCCATGACATATCTTCTCGTCCTGTTCGAGGCAACTTTCTAGAGTGGGCCGGCAACCGATGAAGCAAGCGGAACACTCCAGCGACTGGGTTCTTTCACTGCACTGAAGAAGTCTGTAGATCATTCCAAAAGACTGAATAACTGGCATTATTCAGGAGATACGGTTGATGATATAAATCCTGCATTACCCATAATAGGGAATATACCATAATTCCCATAGTTTAGGGTCCTTAAGGTAATGCAGGATTTATATCATCAACCGTATGATGCGTGTGTAGGCTTACATCGACATGTACGCACTTGAGGTTCCAGAAGAAAGAAGGCCTTGCTGTAGAAGTTCTATACAGTGCCAGAGCCCTGCAGAGTAGGATCCCTAGTGTAACGACTCCTGACAAGCTCCCTAATCCCTAAATCCTAAACCATAATCCTAAACCCTAAACCCTAAACCCTCTCCACCATGTTGCCCCCCCCCCATCCTGGTAGAGTTGCATCATTACATCTCTTGTCAGAATCAGATCAGGCCGACGCGGCCCCGAAGACGAGCTCCTGAGTGCGATATGCGGCTGCAGATTCTAGGAAGTGGGACTTCGAGTTGACGATACCCTGGACCTTAAACCGTGCCTTAGCCCTGAATAACCTACCCTTCTTAGGGTTCCTTATCGTGATGTCCTTTTGTAAGTCATGAAAAAGGTAGGTTATTCCGGGTTAAGTACCTGGAACCTGAACCTGAACCCGGAAGGGTCGGCTCTCAGGCGGTGGGAGATCGGCCCTCTATCTGGCTCAGATGGGTCTGGACTCTTTGAGAAAGTTGAGCGTTTAGGGATTTAGGGTTTAGGGTTTGGGGTTTAGGGTTTAGGGGTTTATGGTTTAGGGTTTGGGGTTCAGGACTTTCATGCTGCCCCCTGTTGGAGTTCAATAGCAGGGCTCTGGACATTTGCTTATGTTGCCTCTTGAAACCAAAGAACTTGCTGGCCTTACAGTACTTGCTATGAAGTTCACGTCATGCATAGCATCTGAGGAGAGCTATTATGATGGCAGTCGTCATGGCTCTCATGACTCATAAATGATCATTGCTGAAATCATGGTTCACCGGCCTGGAACAATGACATCGCGACTTGTATCCAGGCTTATAGCATATTGGGTGTGGTGAGTTTCCGCGGATACGGAAATTATTGTAGCGTTTCGTGTGCGGCTTTTGCAAAAGACTCGATGCACATGGTTCTGGTGATTGTGATGGTGTGAGCGACGCTGGATATGAATACGTTATGGTGCGGACGGTGCGCATGATGCTTTGGGTTGGTAGTATGACGACCAGGATAACCACCTACTCTTGTCAGGATGATTGCGCCTTATCGGCGTGCATCTGGTACAGAGGTAATTAACGACGGCGTTGATGATGATGCTGCTGATGATGGTGTTGTTGGTGCTTTGCGCAGTTGGGACCGGATTTAATCTTAGGGGGTAAGGGGGAGGGGGTAGGGGAATATACTTCCTTAATTAAATAGGCCCTTATTAATTCCTTATTATAGGTATTAGGGCTCAAAGGGTCCTTATGATGTGAGCCGAACCAAGGGAGTTTGATTAGGAGGCCCTGCTACCCAGTAGCTCGGCCCAAGTAATATCCGGGCCTAGATAATTAGGCAATAATTACCAACACTATTTTGGGGGGTTCCTTATTATGCTTATAGTATAAAGGGCGCCACAATCCTATTCTAATTATTCAGACCCCTATAGTACTCGCTTCCGTTTCCTTCCCTTGCTGATGTTGCTGATGGTGATGGTCGGTATGACGGTTCGACTGGACACCGTCATTCTGATTTCGGGGAGTCGACGGACCGGGTCTGCCAGGGTTTGGTTTTCTGCTGCGTCGCTGCTTCAGTTTGAGCCTTAAGCCCTAGACCGCAACCAATACTGTAGGTCATGTTGAATGTCTGAGGCGCCAGCCCCCTTGCAAAAGAAGATTTATGGCGGGTGTGAAAGTGTCTGATAGTCTCCGATGTCCCCAATACAAAACGTCAACGCTCGCTGAGCCGCAGGAGTCCCGTTAACATAGGCGCCTTGATAATTACCAACATACTTTCTTAGGCCCGTAGGGTTCCTGACCGCATTTCTAGTATATTATACTTATTCTATCACAACACATGATTCTAACTTTTAAGTCCCCGAAGATAAGAACCCTATTCTAATTATTCAGGCCCCTAATATAGAGCCCTATTCTAGTTATTAAGGCCTTGAATATAGAACCCTATTCTAATTCTTAAGGCCCCTATAGCATCTCAGGACTCCTGCTGATTTAATCTCTGCTCGGTCAGGGCCGCAGGTGGCACACCTGAGGCCGAAATTGAGAGGTTTGGGTGTTTTCTTGAAAGATAAGCACATGCGATGTATTCTTAACTGTCAGGTGAATAGTTTTCTTAGACCGCATGAGATAAAAAAAGGTATTAAACTATAGTGTATTGCCTTAAAATACATTTCAATAAGCTTTCAATTTTGTTATGTTACATTGAGCTGTATTGTACTATATTCAGAAAATACGAATATACCGTATCATGCTATGTTATGCTTCATTACCTGTTTCTATCTATTCCATATTATTTAATATCAAATAATATACTGCCACATTATGTTATATTCTATCCTATTCTAATATGCGCTTTCTCATGTTTCGTTTTTATGTGATATTGTATCACACCATATTATATTGTACCATATCTTATCTTCTGCATTAGTCTATCTTCTATGTTACAAATTTTATTCTTTTGTGTCATTTTATGTGCTATATCTTATATGTTGCAATGTATCATATGTTAGTGCATGTTGCCTTATACTGTATATGTTATATACCATATTATATCGGTATTGCGTAATGTGTACTATATATTACATGAGATATTATTCAGTATATGTTATAGGATATTGCGCTGTTGTCAGTACCGTATCATATTGACGGGCATATAGCATATTGTATCTTATTATATACTGTATTATGTTATGCCAAATTGAATTGTACTATACTGCTATATACATTTTGTTCTATCTAATAAAGTATATAACACATGTTTATACTATATGGTACTACCTTATATCATCTAACACTCTATCATGCCATGTTATCTTTGCTTATACGATTTTGCATGTGTGCGTACATATACATATATATATACACATATATATATATATATGGTATAAGTTAAGTGTCAAAATCCAATCCAGATGGTAGGGTTTATGGTTTTTAGGGTTTCTCTTGCTTGCCGCTCGTGCTCAGACCGTTTTCCTCTGACCGTTCTCACCTTCAAAGACAAAGGTGCAGGCGGCGTTGCTCAAGACCTCGAGGGGAGGGGGTTGAGGGTTTAGGGTTTGGGGTTTAGGGTTTGGGATTTAGGGTTTAGGGTTTGGCGTTTAGGCTTCAAGTACAATCATCTTATCAGTACGACGATCATCATGAACTAGGGTTTAGGGTTTGGGGTTTCAGGCTTGAAGTACTATCATCTTAATCTGACGATCATCATGAAATAGGGTTGCTCATTTCAGGGCTACTATGACCCCCAGACTTCAAGCGCTAAACCCTAAGCCCAGACACTAAGCCCTGCACCCTAAGCCCCAACTCCTAAGCCCTAAACTGACCCGAACCCTGCTTTCCATGACCCCTCTCTTTGGACATCAACACCAAATCCGTGGCTTTGGGCCAAAAACGGTTGTCTGAACAGTTCTCAATAGACTATTCCTTCGGGTTCCAGCATGTAGTTTTATTGTCAGCATGCCCCGAAGCTCTCTTGCAACCATTTCTGCCTCTTCATGTAATGTAATGAGTACAGCTTTAGATTGGCACTCTGGGACCCTCCCCTTGTTGGGACCCTCCCCTTGTGACGGCATTGCTTGGGGCCGCATTTGAAGCTGCTTCTTGCAACGCGGTCTGAAGCTTGGGTTCGGGCTTCTAGAGCTTAAGCACAGCCACGGGAGCAGTCAAAGAAACATGGCGCCACGAAGCCACAGATGCAGGTGCTCTAAACCCAAATGTGTTCAGCAAGGGCTTGGGATTCAGGCCGCTTTTGGATGAGCCGCCCACGTGCAGCACAGCTCCCAAAAGGGAGCTGGGGCTTGCAGCCCACCAAAGAATGAGCCCAGGGAATGATGGTTCCGAGTATGCTTGTTACACGCTTAGCTCCTTGAACCGACTGCGTGCAGTACTTTCATTATGTCCGTGATGGTATACCCTGCTCAGAGCAGAGTACCCTTTTTGATTATTGTAAGACCCTTATTTTAGCACACGTCTCAAAGAGTAGCTCCCCTACTATAGTACCTTTGTAGTACTACCGATTAATTTGCATTTCAAAATCTTTCGCCACGTTGCCGCCCCAAGCTCCTAAAGCCCGAAGCCCTGTGGCCCGACGGCAAATGTCTGTGTTCAGGGTTTGCTTGGAGGTTCAGGGGTAGCTATAAGTAGGGTTGTAAGTCCCTTAATATGGGTTTGAGGACAGTTACCCTACTTACCTACTTATGACCCTACTTATAACTACCCATGAACCTCCAAGTAGGGCTACCTGATCTCTTCCCGCATTCATGTAGCACCACACGAAACATGAGACACATTTCCCGGAAAATCCACGTGACAACATCCCCGCCTTTTAAAACCGATCTTGGATTAAGCAGGGTTTCAGGAACAACAGCACCAGCACGTGCAAGAGCAAAGCACGAGAGCAGGAGCAGGAGCAAGAGCAGAAGCAAGAGCAAGAGCAAGCGCGCCAAAGAGCGAGAGCCGGAACACTACCAAGGGCAAGCGCAATAGCAGGAGCAGAAGTAGAGCAAGATCTCCCCAAAGTGACCGAAGGGCCCCCATATCATTAACATTTGCTGAATTGTGTTAAGAGGGCCTTGGGCCACCAGGGTTTTAACAGTAGGCGGAAGGGATTAGGCCCAAAACCCTAAAACCTGAACCCTGATCCCTATATCCAGATCTTAAGCATCCCTGGGCCGACCCTAGTGGGAAATCCATGATGTCTCACCTTCTCTTGCTGTGACACTCCGGACCCAGGGCAAGGGGATGCAGGGATCAGGCTCCGAGGTTGCATAGACACTTACCTTAGCATACCAAGACCCATTCCATATAAGGGTTTATACTAAGAACCTACCAGAAGGTAGGGTTTGGTAGGTTAAGGTAGAGGTCAGAGAAAGTAACAGGAATCCGCATTCCTCCCGATAGAAGCAGACAATCACATACCCCAATACGTTATTCGAAGTATTCATGCCCCGTTATATATGGTACCACTAAACCCTAAACCCCTAAACCCTGAACCGTAAACCCCTAAACCCTAAGCCCCTAAACCCTGAACCCTAAGCCCCTACACCCTTAAATCCTAAACCCTAATGTGGTGTTTTCGAGGTTTTAGGATTCAAGAGAGCTTCGAGCCTCTGTCCGAGCAGTGGCACTGGCATGGCATGCAAGTCGTCACCGCTTTCCCGAGGTGCAGGAACTGCTTAGGCGCGTGAATGCAGGGACTATTAATGATTCGAGCAGAGGTCCCTTTAAAGGGGTCTATAAGGGTTACTTCA